ATATCAACACTGACTCATTCAATTTCTTCCTATGCTCAATTTTCTAATTCCTACTACCACGCTAACCTCGTTATTAAAGTAAAGTCACTTTTTAGTTGTTACCTTTTAATCTCAATATTTGATACATCCCTAAATTCCACACAGAAGAACATCGACACTGTAGCATCAGACAAATATCAGAAACAAAAGTCAAAAGCATAATCACCTCAGAAACGGACAAGAACCGGTCTCTCTCGGTGTATTGCTGCACTTTCTCAAGAGACTGACCGGTAAAGGCAGAGTACATTTTGTCGATTTTCTGCATCCAATAATCATTAAGATAAAGTTAGAACAATACCATGCATGTTAAATCTCAAGAGAGGCTGCACCTAGCACTGATGATTGTTAATTCATCCAAATCTCATTTAAATCGTCCAATCAGGAGAAACACCATCAATTTTAGCTTATGCTTGCTCTAAAGCCTTAGAAAAGCCACAAGTTTGTAACAGTGTTAGCATTTCACAGAATTTGGACTCTGCATAACCAACATATATTGCGATTTTGATAAGGTATTAAAATAAATATCACTTATCTTGGTGGTGCCATAAAATCTTTTAAGGCAATATAAGGGTTATTTGTTCCAATTTCCACATACCACACCATTGAGATGTATAATCATATACCCGAAATGTGCATGCATATTTAAAGATTTCTGGCATTAACAAAATCGAGAAAAAGCTAACAGAAAATCATACTTGTGTAGAAACTACAAAACAATATTAAGAATAGACGAAAATAAAATACTGACATGACGAGATTGAACCGCTTCATTCACTTGGCGTCTAACATCTTCCACATGACCCTACAAGTAGAGTAAAAAGTTCAAGTTAAAAATAATTGGAAATGACACTGCACGACTTGTCTAATTTTTTCTCTAGAATCTAATGTCTTCCACCAAAATATTTACACATGGAGAAACTGGTTCATACCCCGCACCCACTTTGGGGTTGATGTATCATAATACGGGAATTTGGCATGGAATACCGCATCCCTTTTTCTCCACCAGCAAGAAGAAGTGCACCTTGGCTCGCAGCTACTCCAAAACATACCGTACCAACCTTGGGCTTTATCTGAGGTAAATATTTATTGCACAAGAAATAAGATTAGAAAAATTTATGAAAATTGCCGAACGAGGCATGCTTAAGTATCACTGGAAGTTGCAATCTAGATCAAGAGATGCAAAATTTTAAATCACAAAATAAAATAGAAGCATGTAGACGATTGCAATCTCACCCAGGACATGCAGTCATATATTGCCAAGACAGAGTAGGTACTCCCACCCGGGCAGTTCAGGTATATCTAACAAGGGCAACAACAGTAAACATAAACAAATGGAATAGATGGGGTCTTACTTTCTCATACTTGAAATATATTACTACGGTTTTCAATTGAAATTTGTACAAACCAAAATATCTGATTCTTCATCGATCGTTGCCAAAGTCACTAGTTGTGATATTACTCTCTGAGCCACCTGTGAATTAATTGGCTGCCCAATGAAGATTATCCGATTTCTGAACAAAACCGTGGAAAGGTCCAAAGGTCCCCCCGGAGTCATGACAGCTGGCATTACGGGTGGGTTTCCCTTTTTGGCTTCTATCACACCATTACTGATAATCGAAAGATTCGGTCAATTTTTAGCTACAGTAAACTACAGTAAAAAGGATAACAACAACTTCAAATAAAAAGACGCGAAATATAGAGTTAATATCAGGTCAAGCAAACATAAACTAGAGGAGAATATAGAGAGCATAACTGACTTAATTCAAGATTATCCGAAGCCAACGCGTTAAAAACTAACCTTAGTAACATCTACTCTTAGTAAGATTTCAATGAAAGAATAACTAACCTTAGTAACATCTACTCTTAGTAAGATTTCAATGAAAGAATAACTAACCTTGGAGTAGAGTAAATATCACTCTGGTCAAGCTTTAGTGGCGATTTACTTGTTCTACTCGAAAATCCTGGTAATATCACCAAATAAAAGCCCAGTCATAACCAATCCTTATCACCAAAAATCCCATCTCCTACATCCCCCCCCCCCCCCTCCAGTTATAAAAGACGAACAAACCGAAAATAAGCGTACGAATGCTACTGAAAAAAAAAAACAGAAATCAAGCATAATAACAGCAGCTAATAAGAAATTAAACTCCTGCATATTTGCATATTCTACTCGAAAATCCTGGTAATATCACCAAATAAAATCCCAGTCATAACCAATCCTCATCACCAAAAGCCCCATCCCCCAATCCAGTAAAAGAAAGATGAACAAAACGAAAATAAACGTATGAAAATGAAGATGCTATTGAAAGGAAAAAAACAGCAATTCAGCGTACTAACAGCTAATAAGCAATTAAACTCCTGCATATTTGCATATTATCAAAAGTGACATCGCAATTCAATACGATTATAGAATGCATACCAATTAACGAAGAATCGCCATAGGAGCTTGATAGAGCTGAAGTTACAGGTTTAAAAGTTAAGTTTCTGCTCAACATGAAAAGATCGAATTCAATTAACAACCGGAACAAGGAATAATCAAAAGAAAGAAGTTTCACTCAAGATAATACGGACTAAAAAACAACGCTGAAAGCTATCCAGGAATGAAATACCTCTGAGGAAAAAGCTGAAACGACGAGACTTTTTTGTAACAAGGAGAAGCAATTGATAGATTTAACGGCGTCGCCATTGCTGACGTCACCAATGTGCGAGGTTGGAGGAGATAGGAGTACCCGAGTAGAGAAGACAATATTTGGACTCGACCCGTTTTGTGCTTTTTATTAAATGATTTTATTTATATTTTATTAAAAAAAAAATTAGAAGGAACATACGATGGAAATGAGAGAGATTATCGACTTTCATATTTTTGGGCCATGTGCGTCAAAATTAATACTAGATAAATTAATAAAGAAAAAAATTGATTTCAATTAGGTAGAATGTACAAAATTATTATTTCAATAATTTAATATTTTGTTAAATTAATAGAGTTTTATTAGTATTGACTGTATTAATTTATAGAGATTTAATTGTATTACTCTTCGAAAATTATTTTTATTGCTTAATGAGTAACTTAATTTAAAAATAAATTATATGATAGTTTGTTTGAAATTGTAATTAATTTATCTATATTTTACATGATCCGGCCCAATAGTTATACGGGCTCTTAATCCCGCCCAATAGTTATACGGGCTCTTAAACCGGCCCGCCCATACCCACACTCTTCACCAGTCCGTTAAAGCGGTGACTTACTAATTCCATTTTCCGTCCAAGAAAACCCCCAACCTTTTTAGTCCGTTAAAACTCACGTTAGGGTTTTAGGCTCCAAAAACCTGTGAAGCCTTCGTCTTATTTTTCTGGTAAGTTGCAAATCGAATTGGGGCTGATTTTCATTCTCGAATTTTGTTTTTACTCCATTTCAGATTTTCGTTTTTCTGTTTACGCTCGATTTCTTCTTCTTCTTCTTCTTCGTCGTCGGCAGATATATAAATGAGGGTGAAGAAGCAGAAGCGGCATCGGAGAGCCGTGCGATTTTACACGGCTTGTTTTGGATTCCGTGAGCCCTTCAAAATCCTCTGCGACGGGACTTTTGTGCACCATCTACTCACGAATGGTATCATCCCCGCCGATACTGCATTGGCGAATATTCTCGGAGCCACCGTCAAAATCTTCACTACCAGGTATTCTCCTCCTCTCTTTTATCTAATATCCGCCATTTTTTTTTTCTTCTTCTTCTTCATATTCTAGTTGGCGAAAATGTTTTTTTTTAATTTGGTAAATGAACTTTGGTTACAGTTGTGTTGTTGCTGAGTTGAAAAGCCTTGGTCAATCCTATTCCGACTCAGTTAATGCTGCTCGTAACCTGATAACTGCCAGGTCAGCTATTTATTTTCCGAATTCCGAACTCGGTGCATTGAGATTATTATCTATGACTCAAGAAATGGTTAGCAAGTAGAAATATATGCTGTTAGATTGTCTGTGTTCTGATGCAAAATGTTGTTTAAAAGCTTATGTTATAGAAGAAATTTTGGTCTGAGTCCTTTTTATTCGTTTGCTAGATTAAATTCATGTATAGTAAGAGCTTTTATATGCCTGAGTATGTGGGTTTGGTGAGAAGAGACAAAGTACCCTGTTTTCTCCTTATCTGATTGAGAAGAAATAAATGATCTGAATGTATGTACACATATAATCCTGAGATAATCTGAACAATTTTTATCTCATGATACGAAACTCCTATAAATAATTGATAGAGTAGTTGAATTTGCACATATAGATTGGGCCTATTAAGTTTATCGTTGTATTGCATGTGCAGCATCGTCTTATACCAATCAGATATCATCTCGTTAGAGTACTTAACTATAAATTTGACGGTGAAACTATGCTGCTTTGGCATTGTGACATGCTTGTATACTGAAAGGTTGTCGTACTTATGAAAACCATTGCAAGACAAAAAAAACATTTTTGAGTTTTTATTGTCATCTCTCTCTCTCTCTCTCTCTCTCTCTCTCTCTCTCTCTCATACACATAAGTCTCTCTGTCACTTGTCTGTAGTTAAGTCTGGAAGTCCCTGACTGTGAAATGAATACTTTACTTAACTCTCAATTGATAGCATATGAGATGTTCAATTGTGTGTCTGAATTGAGAACCTGTTTTGTAGATGTGAACATGAGAAGCGTAAGAGTGCTGTGGCATGCATAACAGACGTTATCGGAGAAAACAACTCGGAGCACTTCTTTGTTGCCACGCAGGACGCAGAGCTGAGAAAGAAGTTCCAAGAGGTATCTTATTCCAAAACAAAACATGTCCTATCAGTTTTCGATACTGCGTATCTTTTTGAATGATTAAATATCTGGTTTTTAGTGAATATTGTATCGGACTATCCTCACTTTAACACTAATTTTTGGGGGGTCAGATTCCAGGTGTGCCTGTGATATATGCTCTCAGAAATGCTCTCTTTCTGGACCGCCCGTCAACAGTTCAACAAGAGTTTGCCAAGACTCTTGAAGAACAGCGATCACGTATGACTGACTTGGAGTTCGAGATGCTAAAGTTGAAGAAGAAAAAGGCGATGACTGATAAAGCAGACGATACTTCTGATGCCAATGAAGATCAGAATGATCATATTGTAGATACAATGGAAGCCAAAAGAAATGTTAAAAGAAACAGAACAGATACAAAAGATCAAGCTCAATTCAAACGAAAGAGAGCTAAGGTTAGTAACTAAGATTCTCTCTCTCTCTCTCTCTCTCTCTCTCTCTCTCTCTCTCTCTCTCTCTCCTATATTGCTTGCATAATTCCACGTATAACTTGTACAAATTAATTCAATCAACAGTTGAAAGATGCGTTGTTTATGTTGCACTCTAATTTCTGACTAGGTAGCCCAAATAGCTACTATCACAATTGAGAATATCAGAAGAATATGGTGTGCTATTTGATGTTGTAACTCACACAACGGGTTTTCCCTGCTAAACAAAGTGAATATAGTTGTTGCTGCTGCTTATTTGTGGACAAATGTGAAATTTCTTTGAGTAAGGTGAATGTTGCTTACAGGCCAACAATTCTGTAAGACAGAGCGAATGGATGGAGTATATGTTTTGCTGATACCTCTTTCCCATTGAATACTCAGTTTATATGTTTGTTTGTTGCAGGGTCCAAACCCTCTCTCATGCAAGAAGAAAAAAGCCCAAGAGAACAAAGATGCTGCTTCAGGGAAGGTCTGTTGATATTAATGGTTTCAATTTGTTTCAGTTTAACTTTAGATGGTGAAATTTCCAAGGAAAAGATGAGGCTGACTCAGGATCACTTAGTTAGGTGGTGTGTACAAAAGCTTTTGAAAACTGATTATGAACTTTTTTTTGGCTCATAATCACTTTTTGAGTGTTTGCAAAACCAACTTCTAATTTAGCTTCTTTGAAAACAAGTTGTTTTAAGCTATAATATAAAGTTTGTGGTTTAAAAGCACTTCAGGAAATAACTACCAATGGTGTTTCCTTATTGGTTTTATCTAAATTCTTTGAATATGGATATGTTAGATATTTCACCCAAATAAGCTAAAAATTAGAGTTGATTTGCAAACATCTAAAACTTCTTATTTGACAGCTTAAAGTTGATTTTTTAAAGGATTTGCAAACACCCCCAACTTTTGAACATAAGCATTTATTTTCAACTTTACGGGTTGGATTTTTATGTGCTTCTATGCCTTTTTCAGTTTATATGTTATTTTAGGTGTCTGGATTACTTTTACAATTTGTCTTTGTTCTGAGAGTTCAATTCTGATTGCAGGAGAGTAATGTTGATAACACAAAAGTCAGGAGCAGGAAACGCAACAGATTGAGGAAAAGCAAAATTACTATTAAACAGACGGTTTAGTGATTGATATACTGTTGATTTTAAATCTTAAATGATTTCCCGTCTTGTAGATTGATAGCATCCAATTTTGTCTGAGATACAGTTATCTTGCATCGTCAATGAGATTGATGAACTAATTAATATGTAGCACTAGTAGTTTCTTTCCAGAAATATAATGGCTACATTTCTTATCTTCGATGTCTTTTCCTGGAGTTTATTGCTGATTATAAGATAAAACACAGATAAATATTATACAAATACATTTTATCGCAAAGCATTTGACTTAACAATAGGAACCCAAACAAAGTTATCTGCTGGAAAGAAATGGCATACAGGGTGGGACCCAGGGGTGATACCGAGCACCTTGAATGCCACATGATTACGGCTCCACTGAGTAGTGTCCATGTGGCAGACAGCAATAGCTTCAACCTTATCGCCATTCTCTCCGGTTAGTGAAACCTTAAACACCTTGCTTTCGCTCTCTTGGTAATGACAGTAGTAAACAGCATAAGGGTAAGGCATCGTATGGCATGCCACCATTTTAGAGGCTGGAATTTCTTGGATTCCGATTACTTTATACTTCTGTAAGAGAGTGTTAGACAAAGTAAGATGAACTGTAGAGACAATCTTGATCTCTGTCTCCGAACCAAAGATCCTTTTGCGAAATCGAGCATCGACTCTAAAGATGTTGCGCAGGTCTTTGTTTCGCCTTTTATGTGTTTTGTCTCGCATTGTCTTAACGTGTCTTCGATGGCTATTGCTTGAGGTGAGCCTTGAGTGAAAGAGAAGTAGTGGAGTAGGTTATCGAGTTCTTGAGAAGAGAAGGGAATCAAATCGGCTTCTTCTCTTGATAGTACGCGAGGAGACGAATCCGATTCTCTTCTCGGGAAGTAGATGGGAATTGTATTCCCTAGTTTGAGATCTTCTACGAAGAAGAACACTATCAGTGAAGAATCTATATGGTGGTGCATGGGGGAATGAACTTGCTCTATACGCATATCCGTTTCAACCCCATTAGAAGCTCCCTGCCCAATTAACACAGGTAATAATAATAGATAGTTTATTTCGTTAGAGCTTTTGTTGAAGTAAATATACGTCTCGTTGAACCATAATTTTTAATTAAGATGTGAAAGAGTTTATGAGAGAGAAAATATTACCAGTAGAATCAGGAGGTGAAGCAGGAGACAGCAGAGTGAGAGCTTTACATCCATTGAACTTCTTTGTGGATATGCCATAGGGAAGATTTCAGTTTTCAAGTAGCTCCATTAATCTTCTTTGATTAAATGATTGATTGCATGCATATTATCTTGATGAATAAAATATTTTTTTTTGTCCAAATGTGAAATATTTTATTTTATATTGTATGATTATCTAAATTATTGATCGAAAATCTCTTTGGGGATTCGTTGTTATCGGGATTGGGTAATCTTAATAGTGATTTGCCCCACCAATCAGCAGGTTGTTTAAAGATTAGTGATCAACTTATCTATTTATATACATCAAGATAAATAGATTACCTTACCCTATTATGTTTTTAGGTTGAACGGTACGATTAGTCTTTTATTACCTTTACTAGTTTGGGTGTTTTAGCCCGTTTTATCTTTATGTTTAACCCTAATCATATCTTCTTTATTGTGTTTTAGGTTCATTCAAAACATTTTCTCTCAATTTCGTTCATGTCTGTTATATTCAAATGTGTTTCGTATATCTATCAACGACTTAACAAAAACATAAGTTGTTGAAAAAATCGATCTGTCCGACTAGGTTGGGATCTGATTACAGCATATGCGGATTTGATTGCTCTGAAAAAACTCAGAATGCAAATAATGTGATTACCAATTACAAAGGTTAAATTTTCATCATACAGTGCTTAAAAAAATACCAGAAGCTATATTAGGCCCATAAAAATGCTATGTTGGGCCGTTAAAAAGTTGTATTGGGCCCACAAAAGCGTGTGCTATAGTATATAATTTATATAAATATACGAGACGAAAACAAGGTCTTTTATGTATTTTGGTACGGAATAAATTTATATAAATATACTTTCGTATAACATTTAACAACTAAGTTTAAATTTTGGGCAAATTATGGCTACCCCTGAGCTATGGTCAAATTATGAAAAAACCCCTCTTGTTTGGCTAATTACAGCCACCCCCTCCTTTTAAATATTTTTACGTAAAATTTATGTAATTAGGTTATTTACCGAACCAAATCGTATATTTAGTTCGGTAAACGGTATGAAATGTTGGCGTACCAAAATTTTGGTTCGGATTTACCGAATTAACATCCCTAAATTTACCTCTTGAGGGGTCTTTTCGTAAGATAAATACATAGTTGATGGGGTGACTGTAATTACCCAAACAGGAGGGGGATTTTCGTAATTTCACCATAGCTCAGGGGTGGCCGTAATTTGCCCTTAAATTTTTAAGCGAATAACAACTGGAAGTATCATAGTTGAGTTTTTTTCAATCAAACTGATACAACTTTATTTTGATTCTGAATTTATAATTAATGGATATTGTAGTTGGAGATTATATATTAAAATTAGTTAAATCTATAATTATTGGAGATTTTTTTTAATATAAAAGTATCGATATTTTAAATAGGATAATATTTAAAGCCTTAAAACAGGACCATATATATTCATGCGACTTTATCAATTTCACACCTAAAAGCGGTAAAAGCACTGTTCGATTTTTTGGTTAGCCGCATCTAGCAATCAGAACCGTTGATATGTTTAGTGCAGAAATCGACGATAACGAGCAACAATTTCTCTGCTGATACGCGATAGTACCAACGAGCGGGCGTCACAGAGAATAAATTTACAGGCGAAACAAGCCACTGAAGAAGAGAAGAGCTCAGGGAAGATGGAGGACAAGCGGAGAGATCTCGCCGGAATTCAGTCGCAGCCTTCGTCCATGGCGGAGACACCTCCATCGGAGCCTCCGACGTCTCGGCGGAGAGGCGGAGGGCAGAAACGGAAATCGGCCTCTATCAACAACAGCGGCGGCGGCGGCGGCAGCTCTACTTCTCAAATGACATCATCTAAGAGACAGGCCCGGGAGAAGCTGCCTCCGGTGCCTTTCCCTCCGATCCACATGAATGGACCCCTCACTAGGGCGCGCGTGCAGCCTTACAACACAAACAGCTTGTCCGAGGTGAGTGCGGTGAAGAGCGAGGCGGAGATTGGGGAGGCGGCGGCGAAGGCGGAGATGAGTAGAGTGAGCGAAAATTGGGAGGCATTGGAGGCGAAGATTGAGGCTGAGTACGACGCCATCGTATCTAGGGATGCGAATGCTCATGTGGTTCCTATTCATGCTGGTGAGTGAGTAATTCGTACATTTTTTTTCCATCGAATTACTTGATTTGCACTATTGAGATTTGTGGTTATGGAGTTTAGGGACACGTTTCTCACTTCAATTGTCCATTTTGGGGATTTTAGATCTGTGAGGTTGTATAATAGTTGTAATGTAGGTAACGAAGTGTCAGTTTTGTGATTATCAAGGGGGAAAAAGTAAGTACTCATAATTTGCAATTTTAGGTGAAGTATTTGGCTCTGAAGCATGCATTACGGTGTTTTGGGAACTTAGGGTTTGTTAGGGACAGGGAATGTGTTACTCCATCCACATCTTATCCCCAGACTAAATAGTTATAATGCCTTGTTTGTGATAATGAAATTAAATGAAATTATCGGGTAAGATTTTATATGTTTGATCCTGGGTTAAGTTGGAAAATATCCGAGGGAGACCATTGAGAATATTCTTTGTTCTTAAAATGATTTTATTTCTTAGGGACATTATGTGGAAATGATTGAGGAAAACTTTGTTCAGTGTTGAATGCTGCCTTGCCTCTCTGCCTTATTCCCTTCGGTCTTTCTCCTTTTCCAACTGACGATTAATTGCCTTTTTGGTTCTTCTCAGTGTTTTTCATGGGAGGCGGAATCATACGAGAAATCCAAATTCATTAGAAATCTTGTTTCATATTTGTTTTCAATATCCAGTCCTTGAAGTTTAGGTTTTATTAGATACTGTAGACCAATTTATCTTTCTGTGGTTATCTGTGTTATAGGTTGGTTTTCATGGACAAAAATCCATCCATTGGAGGAGAGGATGTTGCCTTCATTCTTTAATGGGAAATCAGAAAGTAGGACTCCAGAAATATATACGGAGATACGTAATTGGATAATGAAGAGATTTCACCACAATCCTAATGAACAAATTGAGTTGAAACATCTTAACGAGCTCACAGTTGGAGATATGGATGTTCGGCAAGAGGTGATGGAGTTTCTTGACTACTGGGGTTTGATTAATTACCATCCATTCCCTCGTAATGAACCTGCTGCTATGCTTGTTGATGCTGACAGTAACAAAGACGAAATTGTTAAAATGGACTCTCTGGTTGAAAAGCTCTTCCAATTTGAAAGTGTGGAATCATGGACTCCAATTGTTCCTAGGATGACTACAGCGATACCAGCCATGTCATCTGGTTTATTACCGGAATCTGTCATTGCTGATGAACTGGTGAAGTCTGAGGGTCCTTCGGTTGAGTACCATTGCAATTCTTGTTCAGGAGATTGTTCTCGGAAACGCTACCATTGCCAGAAGCAGGTTCCTTGTTTTTGCTATTCTTTTTCCCCTTATCAAATGTTTATTTTGGGTGCAGAAGCATCTATGAGGATGCATCCTTTGCAGTAGTTTATTTTTTGAAGTACCCGAAAACAGAGATTTTGCATAATAGGTCCCTTGCCACAGGCATTGATTAGAAACTCAGTGATTACATGTTGCAAATATAGATACCATCACAATTGAATTCATTTAAAAAATAATGGATAAAAGCCTGTTTTGTGTGCATGGATATTTGCTTTCTTACCCATTTTGACATTGGGATTCTTAATGTGCTAAAATAGTCCTGCAGTTTGTTAATACAAAAAGAAAAAATGATAATTCAGGGTAAATACTTGTAGTGTCTTGGTCTTTACCCGTTGAAAATGCCAGTAAGATGCATCTATGACAGTTGTGAACTCTATTATTTATGCACCGAGACATGAACTCTACGAAATTACTTAGAAATGTTCCAAAATGAGAGAAATCATGAGGCCCTTCTTGCACATGTTCTCAGTTCGAAACATCATATGAAAACAGTGACCGAGTCAAAGGGGTATTTCATGTAAACAATGTGTGAGATTACTCAATTCAGTGAAAAGCTAAATGAAAATTGGTACTTCATTCCTGAATAAACTATCGATACACATACAATTCTTCTATTTTGTTATCTTCTTTTATGCATACCTGTTGATTAACATTTGCTGGAAGGAAGTTGCTAAATATTATTTAATCCTTTAATGGTGTAGAATAGTTGTTACGTAGTAGTAGAAACAAAATCTGCAGCTCCTGTGACTAATTATGTAAGTTGCTGACTTTAGATTTGTGTTATGCATTCACTTTCTATTAGCTTGTAGATTGTGTAACTATTTATATATACTAGCTGTTACTGGTTCCTATATAGTATGTGTTAACCATCCACTCTAATCTCAAGAATGATATCATGATATATTTCCATCCCGTTTCAATGACTACCTATATTTTCCATTAAATTTACGTTCTTGTTAAACCAATCTGTAAAACAGGCAGATTTTGATCTTTGTGCGGATTGTTTCAACAATGGGAAGTTTGGCTCTGATATGTCCCCATCCGATTTCATTCTTATGGAACCAGCAGAAGCTGGTGGTGTAAGTGGAGGGAACTGGACAGATCAAGAAACTCTTCTACTCCTTGAAGCGATAGAAATATTTAAAGATAACTGGAGTGAGATTGCTGAGCATGTAGCCACAAAGACAAAAGCTCAGTGTATACTGCACTTTGTTCAAATGCCTATTGAAGACGCATTTTTCAACCATGGCGACGAAAATAATGATGCTCCTAAAGAAAATGTAGTACCGGTTTCCGACAGTACTGAAATTTCAGCTCCAAAAGCTGACGATGACAATGACACTCCTCTAAAAGATGTCCCTGATATTACAGAAAACCAGGGTGGTGCTACAGACAATCAGGATTCATCCTGTCCGATGGAAATCTCAAAGCCAGATGAGGTCAAAGAATTGGATGGGGGTCTTGAAGATGGGAAGAGTTTTGCGTTGAAGGCTCTCAACGAAGCATTTGAAGCTGTGGGTTATCTTCCTTCACCTGAGGAAAGTCTATCATTTGCAAAAGCTGGTAATCCTGTGATGGCATTGGTATGTGGAGTTTCCTCCCTTTAATCAAACAATGAGTATCTTATCATGTTTTCCTTTTACAGAAAAAAAATCTGTATTTGTGGGCAATAAATTTGAAACCCCACCAAGTTAATAATGAATTGCTCGATGAGTTTATAATATGAGTAATGAATCTTGGTATTTTTATATGTACAGGCTGCATTCCTTGTGCGATTGGTGGAACCTAACATTGCGAATGCATCAGTTCGTAGCCTTTTGAAATCTCTATCGAGCAATTGTTCAAGCGAACAGCTTGCTGCAAGGCACTGTTTCCCTTTGGAAGATCCACCCGAAGACATGAAGGATGTGGTCGATCCAGAGGGGTTTGTGTATTTAATTATCATCTTCATACTATTACTATATCTGTGATTAATATTCCTGATATCAATGTAATTCTTTCAGAGCTGCAACTGTAACAAATGAACATGAAGAAGTTCAAAAGGACAAGACTAAACATGCCGAAAAGCTGGATAAAACACCTGATTCAGTTGCTGACGGAATCAACTTACGCGATGATGAAAACGACAGAAGTAAGGATTCTCTTATTGAAGAAAATGATGAAAAGACGGATACTACTTCTAAAGACCAGAAACCTGTGACTTCTCCCAGTGGTGACTGTGCAGACAGATCCGATACTCTGAAGGAGCCTAATGGAATGGTCACTAACGAGGAAACTCAACCGGTCTCAAAAACTGAACCAAGTAGCTCTAATTTAGAACAGGTTCCAAAAGATGGTGAAGAATCTCTTGTTGCGGCATCTCATACTGAACTCCAACCCGATACTGTGAAGGAATCAGAAGGAGCTTCTGTGAAGGAATCAGAAGGAGCTTCAGGTGGGGAAACCTCTCAGTCTAAAGAGATTCTAAAAGATGAATTAATGCTGCCTATCCCTGAAAAGGAAGAAGCTGATGTGTCGATACCAAATTCAACAACTGAAAAAGAAGAAAATACAGGTAATTGAATGAAGTTTGTTTTTGTCATTTGATAGAAGATGTAAAGTTTTTGGAGATTTGGGATTAACGGGGGTTAAAAATCAATGAATCACGATGAAGGTTGGAGGCAGTTGACAATACATTAGATTTTCTGTAATAACACATCTCTTTGCCATGTTTAACTCGGACCATAAAATGAGGATATGCAAAATATGGAATATCCATCTTCAGAATATGCTAAAAACATGTAAAAGCACCAAGAGGGCTTTGTTAGGAAAAAAAACACGAAAATCTCATTGGATATCATCATCTATTTGATGTTAAACCAGGTGACGGAGAAGCTAAAGAAAGTGACAGTCAAAAGAATAAACCCCTAGTGACAGAAAATGATCTTGACGTCAACAAAAAGTTGAAGCAAGCTGCAGTTACTGCCCTTTCAGCTGCAGCAGTGAAAGCAAAGCTTCTTGCAGACCAAGAAGAAGATCAAATACTTCAGCTTTCTACATCACTTGTAGAAAAACAGGTATGTTTATATCTAATAGCCTTTCTGCTAGACCTGGAAATGAACTTTGTTGGTATCAATGACTTTGTTCGTTTACAAATTTCCAAAGTGCATCGAGGCCTGTATTTTTCGCATCAAATATTATATAAGTTTATACGATTTCAATAGCTTAGGTACCTTTGTTGCAGTTGTACAAACTGGAAGCCAAGTTGGCTTTCTTCAACGATATGGAAAACGTGGTGATGCGAGTTAAGGAACAGTTAGATAGGTCGAAGCAGAGGCTTTTCCATGAGAGAGCACACATAATCGCAACACGATTTGGGATGTCATCATCAAATCGTCCTAATGCACAGAATTTACCTCCCAACAGACCCCCCATTAATAATGTACCCAACATGGCATCAAGACCTTTTATGGGCATGAACTCACTTAGGCCTCCTATTTCGAGACCAATGATGACAGCGAATCCTGCTCCAAATTCGTTTATGCCTGGAAGTGCAACAGGAAGTTCAGTGCAGCCTAATGCAGATAAGCTTTCTTCTGTTAGCATGAAGTGAAGTACTCTCTGCTCGCCTGTACAACTACCTTCTACCAAGTAAGTATTGTGTCATAAATCACCGCCTTGTGATTCAACTAAGTGTTTTGAAATATTTGACCGACTCGTGATAATTCGTATGCTGAAAGTTCTAAAACAGAGGTATTCACGATAGAAAAGAGAAAAAAATAATAAAGCAAAACACAAATTGCTCAAAATCTTTTCGTTTGGTGAAGTAGGCTCTAGTTTTATGCTCCTTCATGCTTGGTCTATTTCCAAGGAGAAAATTAATTCAACGTTATTTTTTGCATCCTCTAAATTACGGGTTTTCTCTGAAATGGCTCATTAGTTTTCCTTTTTTTTCTTTTTTTCTTTTTTGTTCTTTTTTTTTTATTTATGTTTATCAAACAGTTTCTTAAAGTCTTCCAACAGCCCTTCATATGAATATTAGTACTGCATACGACATATAACTGTTGCACTGAGATGTTCTATTTCTGCAGTCCTCGTATGCAAGTTCATTAATTGAAGTTATCATGAATTTATCAGATCGGTGTGTAAATCGCGTTTTAGTGTTGAAAGAGGTGCTGAACCAGGGAATTTTAAGCATGTATCTCTGGTCCAACTCAAAGGCAAGATCCTCTACTTGAACGGTAATCAAATAATTTATTGCCAAGAGATGGAAGATTTGGAATGACGTCACTTGATCAATAACGTAGAAGCATCTCATCAGAAGTAGGATACAACAGAGGGAATGCTTCTTTACTAGCTGCAGTTTGGTATCTGTGTTTGTAGGTCGGAGAAAATTGTATACTTGTTGTAACTTAAATCGTCTCGATTAAAAATGCAAATTTTACGGTTCTCCTTGTAGTAGTTGAACTCAGGTAAGTTCTATAAGAGTAGCCCTGGATAACTTAACTTATTTCCGATTCCATTTACTTGTCCGTGTAGAAAATAGAAATGAAGTGCAGCATCTATTTTGATCTAAATATACAAGTTCATCAACATCGCCAATCCTTACCAAAGAATCTTGCAAGTCCTCACAAGCAAGAGTTTCACGTAGAAAATTGTTCACGGTTATTAATGTACTGGAAGAATACTATATAACAAAGTACATCACGTTCACAGTGCCCAAGCAAAAAAGTTCAATGAAGGGAGTTCACTACACAATCAAAACACTAGTGTACATATGTAACATGGAAAACCACACAAAAAACACACAAGGATAGCACCACTTTGTTCTTATCCTTCTTGAGAAACATTTAGATAATAAACGTCGTTCAACATTCGCATCCAGTTGACCTTTGCTGGCTGCTGCTTCCAACGTCAATTGTGTCCGGCAAATATCTTCACCAACGTCAACAATGTTCACAAGAAGAAAAGCAAAATTAGAATTTAAAAAAAAACTACTATTGAGAGGTATATCAATCATAGCCCTAGACAAACCTACAACTGTAAGATAAATATGCAAGATAGGACAGTTAAAAGGCGGCACTATTAATTTCTCGGTACAAAAAAAGGATAATCGTCAAACAAATTACAGCAAAACATGCATGCAAATAGATCAGTGCCCTGAGGATGAACTTACTCGACATGAGAAAACTAAGCAACATATATTGTGCGTCTCTAGACCTAGGCATTCATGCCTAACATGTATGTCTCGTCTAATCATGCATATATAACTCTCTCATGGTTAATGAAATTAACGGCCAAAAACCACCGTAGATTAAGTTCATTCATACTCAATGTGAACAAATTTATCAGAAACAATATCCATGTCTAATTAGATGCGATTTTCAACTTACATTTCTTCTTCTTCTCCACTCTTGAGGGCATTCTTTGCAATGATCTGGAAAGCCTCTTCCACATTGGTACCTTCTTTGGCAGAAGTCTCAAAGTAGGGAATATTTCCCTTCGAGGCACACCAAGCCCTAGCCTTTTTCTCAGATACCTATATCAATTCAAACAAATTTGCGATCATAACAGAGGATATAAGAGGAGAATGGAAATGTGTGTGATCGATCATATTTGGACGAACATGGCACTTTTTCTAAAGGACTTTTTTGACACTGTTTTGTCCTATAAATGGTGTCACATCAAGCTTTAACAATACATGTTATGTTATTTGTTATTATACATTGTGGTAATAATTGGAATATAAAGAAAAATGGCAGAAGGTTTGGCGAGAGAGGATTACCACTCTACTGTTTCCACCATCAACATCAACCTTGTTGCCGATCACAACAAATGGGAAATTTTCTGGATCTGTTGGGCTTGCCTGCACGAAATTTCAGATTTTAGTATTCATTTCATTTCGTAAAATGATAAGGAATATAGATCACATATGGATTATACAGCTTCCTTTATCAGAAGTGTCAAGCGCTGGGTTACAAGTCGAACTGTACTCAGGCCACATAATTTTAATCAACATTGGAAAACAATTCATTACAAGACCTCAAAGATTTCAAGCCATGCCACGATAACACATAAATAACATTGTCTAAAGATCAACTTTACACTCATATTACAAGAATGAAATCAAAAGAATGCTCAATCCAAATCTAAAACTTAAGGGAGCTAATGCGAAAGGTAATGTTGATCTCAATTTGATGTGCTAATTGAACATATGCAGGCATTTAAAAAAGGCAGCAAGAAAAACATAAATACCTGAATCAAGAACTCTTCCCTCCAATTATTAAGATTGTCGAATGATTTCATCACATTGACATCATAAACAAGCACACAACAATCAGCACCACGGTAAAATGCAACCCCAAGACTCTGAAATCTTTCTTGGCCAGCTGTATCCCATATCTAATTGAACAAAGACTCAATGTTAGGGCTATACATTTTTTAGGTTATCGTAAACAAAAGAAGGAAGATCAAAAGGGTGAATAGCGAGAAACAAGACAAGAAAAAAAAACAGATAGGGTACGTAGCAAGAAAACAATACTTCCAAATGATAGTTGTTTGACTAAATATCTATTCTAAAAGAGTACAGAATATGATGTTTTTCTCTTACAGCTTGTCTTAAGATATGTATACTGCTTCTATATACAAATTACAAATTCACAAATTGCTTTACAGCTACCATTTTGTTACTCACCAGTTTCTCTTACCTTTTGGGGTAAAACCGATCATATTCCTGAGTATGACAAGGCCCCATAAACCAATAACCATCAAACATTTTACACTTGGTGAATTGACAAAACAGATAACGTTTCAGACTAACCTGTAAAGTAAAAAGACGGTCCTCAAACTGCACTTCCTTTGTAAGGAAATCTGCCCCGATCGTTGCCTTGTATTGGTTGCTAAACTTCTTATTCACATATCTTTAAGCGGCAGGTCAAGAAAATGAACAAACTAAAAAGTAAAATCAATTTTCACAATAGGTCTAGCACATTTCATAAATGCATTAACAATCATATAATTAATAATTTGTTCTTAAGGATACTGATTCATCAACGAGGTCTTCCCAACCCTGCAAATCACATACAAAAAGTAAACCGATTACCAAACACCCGTGTATCAACATATACATACATGTTTAGACAAAGTATTCCAATGCACCAGATAATTTTTTCCTCTATTTCAGTTTAATGGAGCAACAATGAACATAAATTATTGTACAGACAGAACTGATTCATACATTGCTTAATCTAAACATTGATCTCTCTTTTTCTTCATACACTAACTATTTTTTTTTAAATCTGATACTTAATTTTACCAGATTAAAGCCATCACACATCCAAACGGTCAGCAAACTGAGATCGCTTAAAATTAAACCTTAACACCAAAGTTTCAACAAATTGTGCTCTAAACCTAATAATTAAGATCACAACAACAACCAAATCGACAAAAAAAAAAAAAAAACGCCAAATTACAGCTACATCCAAACAAGCAGACAAAATTCGAATAAAATTGAGTTGAAAATAGAAGAATAACTGACCCACTGTCGCCTAGAATGATAACCTTGAGAAGAGCTCTTCTGCGGGAAGGCATCGTCTGGACTTCGGGTTGGATAGCTGACCCGATCTAAGATTCTCTCTCTCTCTCACTCACTGTGTGTGTTTATCACAGAAGTTCAATTTGGGTTTTTTGATCCAAATTGTTGCTTTCTCTCTCTATCTGCTCGAGCCTGTTTTCTCTCTCTAGACGGTAGAACAGTTGGCAAACGGATGTTTCTAGTTGGCTTAGTACAAGTCATGCTCTATTGCCAATTGTTTATTCAAAATATCTGTCTTATAATAATAATTCACATCTATTTTTTATTTTTTTATTTTTTTATAAATCAATAATTCACGTCTAGTTCGACATTAGTAACATGGCATATTCTCTAATCTTTGTTTACTTTTGGTCGACATGCAGGTTTTTATTTACTCGATTAAAGTTATCAAATTCAACATTTTCATAAAAATATATCTTGGTCTAATTGATCCATCGATCTCTCTTCCTAATATGTTGTAATTTTTTTTTTTTTTTTAATAAGAATAAAATACGTAATACAGGAAAAATAGTGATTCACCCTCTGTCCTCGGTATATACAGTAGCGGAGCCAGCATAGGACCAGAGGGATTATGCATACACCCAACAATTCTCGAATCCCTATTATCAATGTAAAAATTTAAAACAAATTTGTGTATAATAAGTATTATCGGTCAGCGTCATAAAATAACTTCATGCATTTGGTCTCTACGAATTTAAAATCTAAACTCGATTAGTGTTTTTTTAAAATCCATACTATCATAATCAACAAGTATTTTCTTTTTTAATGAAAAAAAACTTATCAAGAAGGTGTAATAAAATTAAATTAAAAACATAATATTAAAAAAGAATTGTTTGAAAACCACCACATAAAAAACACAAAAATATATAAAACTAAAAATAGAAAAATATAGTTTAACTTCCGTAATTGTTGGAAATTTATGAGGATGAGAAGACAGGCCATATTTTGCTTAGTTGAAACTAATCATCTCATCTCCCATGCAGGATCATCACCTTCTTCTTCGTTTTTCTCTCGTACCTTACCTCTTAGAATTCATGACCCTGCCCTTCTCCTAAAGGTATACATTATTTCATCTTTTCCTAATTACTTTCCTTAATTGTAATTACAATAATCAAATCCATTGTTATTCAAATCAGGACTCTCGTTTTGATTAATTAGTTGACGATAGTTTGAATATTGTGGAAATAATATTTGATTTACCTAAACTTTGATTTGTGTTTGTTTGATCCTGCAATGATGCTAGAAACTTGACGAACAGTTGGTAAAATATTGACCAGGGGTCGTTTACTTTTGGGAGAACGGTGGGGAAGCTGAATACCTAGAGAGAGAAAGAGAGAAAGAGATAGAGAGAGAGAGAGATCTGTATATTTGTGAATATGTCGTCGCCGGAGGAGTCGCCGCCGTCAGATGGTTCTCCACCGCCGCCGTCACCCGATTCATCATCCTCACCACCTCCACCCAGCGGAGATTCATCGTCACCACCTCCGCCATCAGATGGTGGCGATTCACCATCACCGCCACCACCTTCAGATTCAAACGGCGGCGGCGGAGGGGGATCTTCTTCTCCTCCTTCTCCCGACAAAAGTCCATCTCCTCCATCCCCCGACAATGATTCCCCACCTTCCAACGGCGGCAGCGGCGACAAATCTCCTTCGCCGCCCAAGTCCGGGGACTCGTCGTCAGATGGAGACGACTCACCGTCTCTTCCGCCGCCTCGCTCTGGAAATAACGGTCGTAACTCCCCAACGTCGATAACGGATAACTCCTCACCGGATAAGGATTCGGATCAGAAATCCATCATCGCCGGCGCAGCCGCCGGAGCAGGATTACTGCTCCTCATTATGATCGTCTTCATCGTGTCTTGCTCTAAAAGGAAGAAACGAAGATCACGCAACGACATGAAATACTACAGAGACAACTCCCGTGGAAATATGAGTACAATTTCCCAAATTTTTCAGCCCTAATTTTATTTTTAATTAAATAGTAATTAATCAATTAATTAATTAATTAATCGTTTTTGCTGCAGATAATTACTACAACAACAACAACAACAACGGCGGTCAAAATTGGCAAAACAACAAGGCCCCCTCTCCGGACCACATGGTGAAAATACCACCTCCGCCAGCGAGCGCCGGAGTAAGCTCGGAGCAAGGCTGGGCGATAGCACCGCCGCCTCCTCCGCCGATGATGAGCAGCAGCGAGATGAGCTCCACCGGATTCTCCGGTCCGGCGCTGCCGCCGCCGCACCCAGCGATGGCGCTGGGTTTCAACCAGAGCAGCTTCTCGTACGAGGATCTGGCGGCGGCGACAGGTGGATTCACGCAGGCGAATCTGCTCGGGCAGGGGGGTTTCGGGTACGTACACAAGGGGGTGCTGCCCAACGGGAAGGAAGTAGCCGTAAAAAGCCTGAAAATGAACAGCGGGCAAGGGGAGAGGGAGTTTCAGGCGGAGGTTGATATTATAAGTAGGGTCCACCACCGCCACTTGGTTTCCTTGGTCGGTTACTGCATTTCCGGGGTTCAAAGGATGCTCGTTTATGAATTTGTCAACAATGGTACCCTCGAATATCACCTTCATGGTATATATATATATATATGCTCCTCCTCTTGCCTCCATTTACTATTTAATTTGTTTTTCTGTTAGTGAAAAATATAGTATTGATAATTTAATGTAATCTCTTAAACAAAAACAGGAGCTGGTAGGCCAACTATGGATTGGCCTACCAGGCTTAAAATTGCTTTGGGATCTGCTAAAGGATTTGCATATCTTCATGAAGACTGTAACTTCTTCTGCTTCTTCCTCTTTTTTTTTTTTTTTTTTTTTTTTTTACAATATTTCGGTTCTTAATTTTTTTTAATCGTCGTCCAACAGGTCATCCTCGTATTATCCACAGAGATATAAAAGCTGCGAACATTTTAATAGACAACCATTTCGAAGCTAAGGTACTAATTATATGTACCGAAAACGTTTTATCTTATTTATACAAGTATACAACTTGTTCATTTGAAAAAAAAATGCACTCTGATTATGTAGGTAGCCGATTTTGGATTGGCTAAACTCTCTTCGGACAATTACACACACGTTTCAACTCGAATAATGGGAACATTCGGGTAAGAAAGTAAAATAGTACACAATATGTATAACTTATCCAACTTCATTAATATAATAACTTGTCATGAAAATAAACATTGCGATTCCGCTACTTAATTTAATCAGTGTAATTAATTAAACCATACATGTATTACAGGTACTTGGCTCCAGAATATGCATCAAGCGGGAAACTAACTGAAAAATCCGATATCTACTCATTCGGTATAATGCTTTTGGAGCTGATAACTGGACGACGCCCCATCGATATCCATAGTGATGACGACTGCTTAGTTGATTGGGTATATATATTATACTCTCATACAAATGCATTTATATCAAATACATTTATATCTCCCAATTAAATTCATTTAATATTTTGTGATTTTATATTTACAGGCTAGGCCAATTCTGAAACAAGTGACTGAAGGAGGAAGCTACGAAGAGTTGGTGGATCCAAGACTAGAGCACAACTTCAATCACCACGAGATGGTTCGTTTGGTGGCTTGTGCTGCTGCTTGTATTAGGCAATCTGCTAGAAGTCGACCTAAAATGAGCCAGGTATATACTATATTGTATATATATCTATTTATATACATATAATTTTTCTTTTTCATTTCTTCGATACATGTTGAACGACCACCTCAACAAAAAACTATGCTAGCTATTATTGAAATATATCATTTAATATTAATATCTCCAACAATACACAACCGTTTTCAAGTGTTCAGTTTTATATTTAATTAAATTTCGATGCAGATTGTGCGTGCTCTTGAAGGAGATGTGTCTCTAGATGACTTAAACGAGGATGTTAAGGCGACACATAACAATCTGTTTGGCTCGAGCAGTGGCTCGGAATACGACCTGAAAAGACTCGGGAAAGGTGGGCCAATGACCAGCCAAGAGTTCACTAGCAGCGACGAGTTTGGCCATACGAGTGGCGGACATTAATTCATGAGGAATGCGGTGCCACCTAGGCGGGGCCCCGCTCAATTGAGTATTTTCTATGTTGAATTCATAGGATGAAAAAAATGGTCTTTTTACACCGTTTGAGTGTTTGGTAAGAACTAGATGGAGATGAATATGGTGAAGGGACTAAGTGTATATGATGCTTTGGCGAAGTTTGTAGTTTTTTTTTTTTTTTGAAGGTTCTAACATTGAATACAATGTATTTCATTTTCATTATAGTTATGTTTATAGTATTTTTCATTGTGGACTGTGAGATTGTTATGTTTGTTATATATAGTAATGTAAATGGAGTACACAGCTTCTCATTTTCATAATTTATAGCATCATATCTAATTTGACATAAACTGCATATGCAATATAGAGTTGGGTTGCATATCTAACTGGACCTCCGCCTCCGCCTCCGCATCGTGATGCTCGGGCTGAAACGACGACTTCCTCTATGGCGGCGCATCCCTTGGCGGGAGGCAGGGCGATTGGCTCCTGGTTGCCGCCCACAGAAGTGCCTAGAGGTGCTCCATTGTTAGAGTTACGAGGGAAGGCGATTGGCTCCAGTTGATCCGTTCGCCGAACACTGATAATGACTACTGGATATTATGGTAAAGAAAAAGTGAAAATTGGAATTTTAGAATTTGAAATTAAAATACTTGTTCCAATTTTTTGGATGAAAATCGACGGAATTTAGAAAATTTTATCTTTTGGAAACGGTAATTTGATATGTATTCTACCTCCGTTAAAAGAAATCGGAAAAATACTGAAAATGGAATTTTAGAAATTCGAAATGAAAAATATTGTACCAAAATTGCAAATACTCGAACCGGAGTGTATCCCGTTCCAATTTCCATCTCTAGACGGGGCGGTTAGATGACAAATTTCGCATAAACTAATTAAAAGATGGGAATTAGCTCTGGTAAATTACGAAAGCCCCCCTTAGCTTAGGCTAAATAACAAAAAACACTTCCACCTATTCGTAATTATCAAAATCTCCCTGACGTTTGTTTATGTCTTACACAAACCCCCCTATGGTATGACTTTTCACAAAATCTTTTTGATTCGAGGGAATATTCGCAAAAAATGTCGATTCTACCTCATGCATCAGTTTCTCGAAGATATCATTAATGAAGTTGTTCATAAAATTCATGGCCTTGTTTGAGATCCAGATGTAGACTTTACATATTTCGGATTTTTTGCTTTTACTTTTAACGTATTTAACTGAAGGGTATAATGGACTTTACACATTTTTCTATTTAAAAACTCGGTCAATAGTTAGTCAGAGGGGGTTTTTAGTAATAATGGATGGGTGGGGGTATTTTTCGTTAGTTTGCCTAAGTTTAGGGGGTTTTCTGTAATTTACCCATATGTAAAATATGGACTTTAATTGAAACTAAAAATAGTGTATGTCCTCATCTCTAATTATGCAACCTACCAAGGGATCTTCTTCTAATTTTATAGTGAAAATATTACCAAGGGTATATCCGGTAGTAGGACAGTAATTAAATATTTCCAATTATAATAATGTGAAATTAATTGTCATAAAAAAGTATGTTCAGATAATATGAGCAATATTACAGTAAATTATTTAGGAATAAATCAAAAAGTCAAAACATCGGGATGTAGTACTAAAATGAACGTGGCTCGATTGACTAATTTACCCCTTCTATAAACAGGCGCGCTCGCACTGGATCAATGCCAGCACCACTGTGGAAACCTTCAGTTGTACGTTGAGCTTTATCTGGGTAACCAAGAGGAGAGAGAGAGGAGAGATCTGCACTCCCACTCTCACACCGTATATAAACAGAAACAAAACACTGCTTTCGGAAAATCCCCCTCTCACACACACACCGACACACAGTAATCTGTATAGTTGAAAGATAACAGATCTCTCTGCAATGGCGCAGCCGCTGGTGAAGAAAGACGACGACCGCGATGATGAAGGTGCCTTTTTCTGGAATTCGATTCTCTCTTACTTCATAGTTTTTGAATCGTATGCGTGGTGATTTTCGATTTGGTGTAATTAGAGTCCATGGTTACTGTTCCGTTATACCTAATGTATAATTCAATTTTCAGATCTGCCGTTCCATTTTACATATCGGTTAGATTGCTAGACAATTCGATAAAAGTTGAATCATCATCGTATGAGATTATATGATTTGGATTTTTTATGAATATTCACACGTCTGCCTGTGACTTGTTTAATTGCAATTGTTAATCGATTTGGGGATTTACAGTTTGGCTTTTCCTAATTAATTCGTTTTTTAGATCCGCAGTTTTTCTGTGTGTTCATAAATTCACGCGAGTGAGAGTCTGAAATATTTGATGAATCAGAGTAAAACATTGATTCTGATATAGGTTTTCTTCAATCATGTGTTTGAGGAAGGAATATGATTCAGTTGATAGTATCTGTGGTTAGATCAACAAGTGTAATAAAGGTTTTCATATCACTTGATGTTGTAATGTATAAGATATATGATCACTTGGGGTTCAGCTATGGTGGTACATTCCGATTGGGTTTACTTATGCACTCTACAGTGGTTTAGCGTGACGCATTTTTTATTTAGGTTTTTTGTTGTTAATATATTGCGGTGTTGAACTTTGTTAACTTGCAGTGGATTACTCTCCATTCCTGGGAATTGAGAAGGGTGCGGTATTACAGGAAGCTAGAGTTTTTAATGACCCTCAATTGGATGCGAGAAGATGTTCACAGGTACTCCTATTTGCTGTTATGTCAAACTATATCATACTTTTTAGCTTCATGATTGTCTTAAATAAATAATTAACTGTTCCAAATCTCTCCATTTTAGGTCATCACGAAGCTTCTGTATCTTCTTAATCAGGGTGAAATATTCACAAAGGTTAGACTCTGATGATGTTCCTCTCCCTCTTTCACGCACACGATTACACACACTCATTGAAACACGAACACAATCACAACATGTTTGTGCATGTACAGATACATTGATACACACTCTCACACATTTTGCTATGCAGTTTAGGTTTTATATTTTCATAGTGGTATAGAAAAGTGACAACCCTTGCATTTCTATATGTTTTGCGTCTGGATATTAGTTAACATGTTTGGATTTAATTTGTAGACTGAAGCTACAGAAGTATTCTTTTCCGTCACAAAGCTATTTCAGTCGAAAGATATTGGTTTGAGAAGGATGGTTTATCTTATTATAAAGGAGCTATCTCCCTCTTCAGACGAGGTATACATTTTCTAGCTTCTTCCATCGCTTTTCCGGACAGCTTTATTTTTGTTTTTAGTTCTTCGTATTGATGCTCTCTTTTTTTTTCTTCAAAGGATGTTGAGATTGATTTTTATTTTTTTATTTTATTCAAAGGTTATCATTGTCACAAGCTCCCTAATGAAGGACATGAATAGTCGCACTGACATGTATCGAGCTAATGCTATCCGTGTACTTTGTCGAATTATTGATGGAACACTTTTGACCCAAATTGAAAGATACCTAAAGCAGGCTATTGTGGACAAAAATCCCGTTGTTGCTAGTGCTGCACTTGTGAGTGGTATCCATCTGCTACAGGTACTATTTTACTTTTTAGGAATTAAACAAATTTTGGTTAGTTGAAGTGTTGAGCGTTAATTAATATTCATGATTATATTGATAGACAACTCCTGAGATAGTCAAAAGATGGAGTAATGAAGTACAAGAAGCTGTTCAATCTCGAGCTGCACTTGTACAGTTCCATGCACTTGCTCTGCTCCACCAAGTAAGATATTTTGTTCTGTGGCAGTATGCGATCAAACCATTTTGACAATGCAGTGCGTTGATTGTATAAATCATGGTCTTTAAAACAGTGTTTCGTGTGGATGTTTTCTTGAGTACAGCCCTTGACATGGTTTGGTTGGATTAATATTATATTTATGATCTTGCAGATACGGCAAAATGATCGTTTGGCTGTTAGCAAGTTGGTTATCAGCTTGACAAAGGGGACTGTTCGTTCTCCTTTAGCTCAATGCCTTTTGATTCGCTACACTAGTGAGGTATTAATTTTACTGATGTGATTTAGTTGTAAAATGACTTGTTTATGTAGAGGATGTTGGGTCGAGAATGGCGCGGGTTCTTTCATTTACTAATAAAGCAATTTTTCATTGAAATATAGGTTATCAGAGAGTCAGGTGTTAATACACAAACAGGAGACCGGCCGTTCTATGACTATCTCGAGGGTTGTCTACGTCACAAAGCTGAAATGGTTATCTTTGAAGCAGCTAGGGCAATCACAGAGTTGAGCAATGTGACTACCAGAGAGCTAACTCCTGCCATAACTGTGCTGCAACTTTTCTTAAGTTCTTCTAAGCCCGTCCTAAGGTTTGCTGCTGTCCGGACATTGAATAAGGTCGGTATTCCTATAGTGATTCCTAATTCCACTTGATTTTATAATGTGGTATGAGTTTACTATGTTTTTCTTGTGCATACGCTCATCCGCTCTTTCCCTCTTCAAGTTTATGATATAAATCATACTAAAATCTGGAGTTTTTTTTTTCATGGGGACACTGAAAAATGAGTGTCGAAGACTAAGACATGAACCGCTTAAGGACCCATATCAAGATTTTTTCGGTATTTGATCTTATAGTTGCTCCCTGATTGGGTTCTCAGTTTCACAACAGTAAATAGTTCTTGCTGGCTTTGATTTCATAAGTTTGTTTAATGAAAGTGACTTTTATCTTTCAAACTACTTGACAGTGGAAAGTAGTCTATGTGAGCTAATTTCAACCTTCTTTTGACCTCATAAAAAGTTCCACATTGACTTGGGCTCGATAAAGTCGACCTACATATGGTTAAAGAATGCAAAAGCGTTCATGCTACTTATACATCTACGGTTTAGTATTTCTTGGCTGTATAATACTGTAACTTAAGTTTCTGCGGTGATACCCAATAAAAATTCATGCTCGACTTATATAGCCTCTGATTTTACTTGTACTAGATAGAATTGTTTGTGTGATCTGTTATTAGATGCCGTTGAGTTTTGTGGCAAATTCTTCACAAAAAATAGGTGGATAGATGCTTGTTCAACTGGTATTGATCATATGATGTAGTAAGCTTTACTGTTTGACTATCTAATGAAATGGCCTCTTCAAGTTTTCACTCATTTGCTACCTCTTTATAATTTCCATGAATGCTATCTTTTGTTCTAATCTAGGGGCTTCACTCGTTTTCATGTATTCAAACTTACAATGCATGCAGGTGGCAATGACACATCCCATGGCTGTAACCAATTGTAATATAGACATGGAAAGCTTGATCTCGGACCAGAATAGAAGTATAGCAACTCTTGCTATTACCACTCTACTGAAAACAGGCAATGAATCTAGTGTTGATCGCTTGATGAAACAGATCACAAACTTTATGTCTGATATTGCTGATGAATTCAAGATCGTTGTGGTAGAAGCTATAAGATCATTGTGTCTGAAGTTCCCCCTTAAGTACAGATCTCTGTGAGTGATTTTAGAGTTTTCCCTGGAAACAGAAGATCTATAACTTCTCTTGTTTCCTTTCTTCTGAAAGTGGTATTTCCTTTTTCACATTATTTGGTATATAAATCTAACTATGCTTAACCTTTTGGGTTTCCCCAGGATGAATTTCTTAAGCAATATCCTGAGAGAAGAAGGTGGGTTTGAGTACAAAAAGGCCATTGTTGATTCAATTGTCATCTTAATTAGAGATATTCCAGATGCCAAAGAAAATGGATTGCTGCACTTATGTGAATTCATAGAAGATTGTGAATTCACGTATCTTTCCACCCAGGTTTTCATTCATCTTCTTCGTACCATTCTTTAGAACTAGGCTACTCTTCTTTGCAATATTCTAGTTTGGCTCAATCACTTTGAATCTAATTATTTGTTGTGTTAGATTCTCCACTTTATTGGAAATGAGGGACCCAAGACATCAGATCCGAGTAAGTATATTCGGTATATCTACAACCGAGTAATACTTGAGAATGCTACTGTTCGAGCTAGCGCTGTTAGCACACTGGCCAAATTTGGTGCCATGGTTGACTCGTTGAAAGTAAGACGGCATATCTTTTACGGACATAGTTAAAATCTTAAGTTAGCTACCATAATAAACCATGTTCTCTCTGTGCTGCAGCCTCGCATATTTGTTTTATTGAGGCGTTGCCTTTTCGATACTGATGACGAGGTCAGTATTCTTTCCAGTTGTGTTTCAACCTGTTTATAATTTCTAGTTCGCAAATTCATTTTCAAATGATAATGATATTAGTTGATGCAGCTTATATTCAAGTGCCACACCAATTTTACAGGTTCGAGACAGAGCTACACTATACTTGAATACCCTTGGAGATGGTTCAGTTTCAGAAACTGACAAAGATGTTAAGGAATTTTTGTTTGGCTCGCTAGATATACCACTAACAAATTTCGAAATTAGTTTGAAAAACTATGTAAGTAATTATGGTAATTGGTGTTTGTTTTTATGGTTATTTTATATGTATTTGTTTTCTAATAGAGCTTGAAGCCATGGTCTAATTCATCTTTCTGGAACAGATTCAGAATCCTGCAGAAGAGCCTTTCAATATTAATTCTGTACCCAGAGAAGTTAAGTCCCAGGCTCTTACCGAAAAGAAAGCCCCTGGTAAGAAACCAACTGGGTTGGGTGCACCACCTCCTCCCCCCACCTCTGCAGTTGATGCTTATGAAAGGCTTCTATCCTCTATCCCTGAATTTGCAAGTTTTGGAAAGCTTTTCAAGGTTTGTGGGTGAATATATTTAACATTTTGATTCATGTTATGATTCATTCTGGAAATTCTCTGAGGTACTCATTGATTTTTTTTGCTGCTCATGATTTAGTCATCAGCACCTGTGGAACTTACAGAGGCAGAAACTGAATATTCAGTTAATGTTGTCAAGCACATATTCGACCGACACGTGTTGTTTCAGTATAACTGCACGAATACCATACCAGAACAGCTACTTGAAAATGTAAGGAGTGTATTTCCAAAAGCAATTTTTCCCGTTTGCCGGGATTATTTTTCATATTTACTTTCTTGCTTGTAGGTGACTGTTATAGTAGATGCTTCTGAAGCTGAGGAGTTTTCTGAAGTAGGAACCAAACTTTTGAAATCTCTTCCATACGATACACCAGCACAAACATTTGTGGCGTTTGAGAAACCTGAAGGTGTCCCTACTGTTGGAAAATTCTCAAACGTGTTGAGGTTTACTGTTAAAGAGGTATTTGTTCCTTAGCTATGTTTTCGCCTAGATGTGTTCATACAATACCAGGAGGAAAGTGCAATCCTATTAATCCATCATATTCGTTTCAAAATGTCTCTTCTACTTATATTATCTTTAGGAAATTTTTTATTCATTAATTATTTATGCAGTACTCCATAAAATACTTTACTACTGGGTGGATATTGGAACGAATTTCCGAATTCTCCGCCGATTCTGATCCAAAAGTTTCTGATTTTGGAACAATACTATTCATTTTGAATTCCAAAATTCCGATTCCCATTTTTCTGTTACTTTTGGATTGGAATTGGATGAATATGAATTTCGATTTCCCGATTTCAATTTCCGAAAATAATTTCGAATTTTTTTCCCCTTGAAATTTATACGTAAAATATCTGTATTATTATGTATTTTGTATTTTAGGTGAATTCCACCGATTCCGATATGAAAATTTCCAATTTTGGATGAAGTTTTTTGCATTCCAGTTTACGAAATTCTATTTTTTTCTGGAACAAGGATTGGAATTAGTTTCACTTTCGAAAAAAAGGACTTTTTGGAACAAGGATTGGAATTAGTTTCACATTCCAGATGATGTCTGACATATAATTGTTCTTCTCTTGCTCTCATTTGTATGACTAATCTTGGTTTTCTTGCTGTAGAAGATGCTAACCTTTTGTCCATCGTATTTTTTATTTTAACTATTTATATTGCTGCTTTAATTGGGTTAGGTTGATACCTCTACTGGTGAGGCTGACGATGATGGTGTGGAAGACGAATATCAGCTCGAGGATTTCGAAGTTGTTGCTGCAGATTATATTCTTAAAGTTGGAGTCTCTAACTTTAAAAATGCATGGGAAAGCATGGGCCCTGATAGCGAGCGTATAGATGAATATGGTCTTGGGCCTAGAGATAGCCTCGTTGAAGCTGTCAATACAGTCATCAATCTTCTCGGCATGCAGCCCTGTGAGGTTAGTACTTCTCTACCAAATATTCGTACAAGGGTTTAAGGCTCCTTTTGTTGTTGAAGCTAATGGATAACGGGCATGATTTTCCCATTAGTTTTTAGAAGAAATCGAGATTGTGCTCCCAATTTTTTTGTTTAGCAAAGGATTTATTACATCTGTTTCATATCAAGTGTCGTTTAAGGTAGTTGCACATTAATTAAGAAAGTTATTAAATAGCTTTTATTTTGGGGGAAAGGTTCTTATTAGACAAATTTACCATTTGTGGCTTTTCATTTTTTCTTTATCAATGTTTCATTAATATTATGGTAAAGTTGGACAAAAGAAAAGTCCTACCTTGAAATTCTAAAATGACACTTAATATGGGGGAAAACAAATAAGACCAAATTGACACTTAATAAGAAACATAGGTAGTATATCCTGGACAGGTTTTTTCTTTGCAGAGCCAAGATTTTATTCACGAGGGCCAAATATACACTAAAAATTCTCTAGGGAAATAAACGAATATTAGAGTATAAAATATGATTTTTTTTTTCCCTGGAAATCGTGGGGGGTCATGGCCTCCCGTCGCCCTATAGGTCAAGTTTGGCCTCACGTATTTTTGGTTTATGCCCTTCACCTATTGGAGTTGGACAAAATTGAAAAGAAAAAAAAAGCGTTTAATTGTATTAACATTTGTTTTACAGGGCACGGAGGTTGTACCAAACAACTCAAGATCACACACATGTTTATTGTCGGGTGTATACACAGGAAATGTGAAGGTGCTCGTACGGTTGTCATTTGGAATAGATGGGTCGAAAGAGGTGGCAATGAAGTTAGCAGTGAGATCTGAGGATGAGAATGTCAGCGACGCGATTCACGAAATTGTTGCCAGTGGGTAATTTCTCTATTCCATGCCTTTTTGCTTTGTATTTTTTCAGTCGAGCGGCACAGTAATTTTTATTGTGGAAAAATGAAGTATAAATAGATATTTTTTTGGGGGTCCATGAGTTGAATTTGATAGAAAATTGTTCTTTAGATTTTTATATATTTTTGGTTCATTTCCTTCTGAATAACAATAATTCTGTTGGACCTTATTTTATTTGAAAACTGTATTAAGTATAAATAATTTCTATATTTTCCTCCTCACTCGTTCATAGGTATATTTGTGATACTGATATTGTGTGATTTCCGATTTATTTAATGCTACACCCGGTGAAATACACCGGAAGATTATTGACCGTTGATCTGCACATAATTTACACGGACACCCATGTGTATGTGTGCTTAGTAGGAAGTTATTTCATCACATCAACGGTTAATAATCATTCGATATATTTTATCGGGTGTAACATCTCAATAACATTGATTCCCTCGAGTTGATGGCCCACTTGCGAGTAAAATTTTCTTATTATACAACCATGGCTTATATTTATATTTATGATAAAATTGGTGTTAGATGAATGCGGTAAACCGTAAAAAAAAAAAAAAAATAACTGCTTTACTAAGCTTGTTATAGTTTGAAAAGATATTGCAATTATTTTAACTATAAAATCAAATTCTATTGAAAAAGAAACGAGGGAAGTGGGGAACCTATAGAATAAGGTTTATTTGTTTCAAATCAACACTATTTCTGCAGATCTTCAACTAGCAAATCACAAAATATTATTCAATCCATTAATTTTGTTTAATGACATTCTATAACATTGTTCATAATTAACAGTTATAACATATAAACATAATCGGCCTACTACAACTAATAAAAACATCATAGCATAACCAAAAGACCTAAAATAGACCTAAAATAGAGAGGTTACTTGGATGCACGAGAACTAAAGTTGGAAATTGGACTGAACCGATTAAAACTAGCCATTTGAAAAATAATAGTTTTTTCTTTCGGTAGTAGAAAATGGCTTCTAATTCCAATTTCAAAAAATTGTTTTCCAAAAACCTGTTCCACATTTGGAAAGCCATGTAAATCCTGGAATTTTTTTTTTGAAAAATGTTCAAAACTTCCAATTTTTTTTTTGAAATTTATTATAATAATGATCTTTTATCTACTACGTTTCGTAATAAAAAAAATTCACAATTTAGTTAAATTTATCTTCATAGAGAATAAATCAACTGTAAATGAGAGTGATGAAATGAAACTTTGAAAGGATTATAAATGGGAGAATAGAAAGTTAGGACTCATGACTCATGAGACAAAAAATGACTGATTTTTTTTGAAATTATGAGGGCATTTGTATATTAATTATATAAATATAATTTTAATATGACATGAAAATATTTGTAACTATTTTCGAAAAGAATCAGAAAATTTGAAATTTGATCTAAAAAAAAATGGTTTCAAAATATAGTATTTTTTTTCAAATTTTCATCCCTTTTAATCACTACAATTGACAATTAGTCAAGTGATCACGTGACAGTGACACAGCTCTTTAAACAACAATATGAATTCTCCCGTGCTCCAATCGTCACTCGCCACGTGTACAAATACGCCAAAGAAGGTACTGCACAACTCGCACGCTGCAACTGCAAGCAATTCCTTAACAAGCCATGCAGCTGAAACGCAGTCCTCCTACCTCCCTCTGACCACCACACTTTTTTTTCCCACTCTCTAAAACCCTAGAGCATTCAGAAAAACACAGGCCTCCTTTTTCTCTCTCTCTCCCTTCCACCAATCGTCTATTTCTCGGCCGCCGTCGTTTTTTTCTTCTCCGAAAGGTGATGTTTCCTGGTCTCGTGAATACTGATTACTCGCTTTTCGTATCTGTATGCTCGGTGCTTCTATTTCTCTGTCTCTGGTTTTGTATTTTTTTCCCCCCAATTTTTTTACTCTGAATTTCCGAATGTTCAATATTCTGCGTTTATCAAGCTAATTTTGGCAAGTGATGGTTCAATCGTAATTTTTAGTGTTGTAGTTCATTAATTTATCGAGTTTCTGAATGTTCGATCCTGCGTTAATCAGGACATTAAATGCTGCTCTAATTTTGGCAAGTGATAACGCAACCGTAGATTTTACTGTTGTAATTTATTGAGCTCCTTTGTTCAGCTTCTTCTTTGCGCCAACCGATTGACTGGCCTTCTTCGCTATTAATTTACAAGCTTCTTCTACGGAAATATATGTATTATATGTTTGTGATGGAGTCTATATTTTGTTTTTGCGATTGCTAAGTTGTTTCTGTATGTGATTTTATCGCAAGTTTTAAATACCTTTGCCAACACCTCTGTACTATCATCTATGGCAGCCAGGTGATTTAATTTGAAAAAAATGTCTGACTTCATAATTGAAGAGGATACCGAGTACCGACATCAGTCATGTTTTCTGGTCTTGTGAATATTGAATACCTTCTTTGCACATCTGTACGCTTTACTGCTCTGTCTTTGGTTTTGTGTGTGCTTTTTTTCCCCAACTGTGAATTTCTGAATGTTCGATAATGCTACGTTTATCAAGACATTAAATGGTGCTCTAATCAAGTGACGATGCAATCGTAATTTTCATTGTTGTAGTTTATTGAGTTATTGAGTTTATGAATGTTCGATGCTGCGTTTATCAAGACATTAAATGGTGCTCCAATTTTGGCAAGTGATTATACAACCGTAGTTTCTAGTGTCGTAGTTCATTGGTTTATTGAGTTTCTTTCTTCTACGAAAATACATTATAATTTATATGTTTGTGATGAAGTTCTAGGTTTTGTTACTGCGAATTTGCGATTGCTAAGTTACTTCTGTTATTCATTGTAAGCTCATAAATACCTTTACCAGCACCTCTACACTATCCTCCACTGCAGGTGATTAATTTGGAAAAATGTCTGACTTGATAATCGAAGAAGATACCGACATCAGCGAGTCCGAGTTAGAAGACCATGCCGATTCTTGTTATGAGAAATTGAAGCAAGCTGGTGAGACAGTGAAAATATCAGAAACTGAATACCGTTGCCCCTATTGTCCTAGAACAAAGAAGCGGATATTTGGATTCAATGATCTTTTACAGCACGCATCTGGGGTAAGCCGTGGCTCACAGAAGAGGGGGATAAAAGATAGAGGAAGGCACTTAGGCCTGGTGAAATATATTCAGAAGGAACTCAAAGGTGAGAGTATTCCAGAAAATACAGTGGACAACAATGAGATTCACAAAAGCTGTGATCTGAACGAGCTTTATGTGTGGCCATGGATGGGGATTGTAGCAAATATTCCCGTTGAGTGGAAGAATGGGCGTTATACTGGGCAGAGCGGCTCAAAACTTAGGGATGAGCTGACGGAGAAGGGATTTAACCCGTTGAGGGTTCACCCTTTATGGAACTTTAAGGGTTTCTCTGGATATGCGATTGTGGAATTTAGGAATGAGTGGCTTGGACTTAGCGACGCCTTGAGGTTTGAGAAGGCGTATGAGGTGATTCATCAAGGAAAGAGTGACTACTTTGAGACTGAAAATTATTGGGGCAAGCTGTATTGTTGGGTGGCTAAGGATGATGATTTCCATGCAGAAAATGTGGTTGGTGACTATCTAAGAAGGAATGGAGATTTGAAGACATTAACGCAGTATCAAGAGGAAGAGCACACTAAAAATAGCAAACTACTCTCCAATTTGACGAGCACGGTTGAAGGTCAGAATATGCGGCTTATAGAAATGGAAACCAAGTACAAAGAGACTTCCGTATCCCTGAGCAGTTTGATGAGCCAAAAAGATGAGATGCTCCAAGCTTTTAATGAAGGTATATACAGAGTTTTCATCATTTGATTATAGTTCTCTCAGTTTTCAGTTTCTTTTTGGTTCTACAAGCTCATTATACTAATCATTCTGTTAAACAATTTTATTAGAAAGGAAAAAGATGCAGCAGACTGCGAGACATCAACTCCAACAGATTTTTCAAGAGCATGAAAGAACCGCAATGCAGCTGGAAGTGCAGAGGAATGAGCTTAAGCAGCATGAGAAAGAGCTGGAGGAACGTGAAGCTCGGAATGAGAACGAGAGACTAAAGCTTAGTTATGAAAAAGAACAGGTATTCTGATCCTTGTAACTAAATATGTCTTTTACCACGCTCCCTCTCACATTCCCTTATGACAATATGTAAAATAGGCTCGGAAAACACTTTGCGATTTGTACTTGAGGATCAAATTCCACAAGATTTTGTGTTTATTTTGCTTTGTGTATCAATATAGAAGCATATAATGAGGGTATTGCTGCAGAACCTCACCCTCTCTTTTTTCTAACCTTAACTCCGTTATCAATTGGCAGATATTTAAGAAATCAGGGAAATATTGCTACAGCGGATAATAGTAGCACATTTGTTCAGTATTCATCACACACATTTTTAACGTATTCCCGATATGGCCTCAAAATATGCTATTGTTGCAAAGTCTTGATAATTCTTCTTGTTATTCAGAATGAGAGAGCAATCTTAGAGCAAAAGAGGGCCGATGAAAATGTTTTAAGGTTGGCAGAAGATCATGAGGTACTATTTTTCTTTTCAGTTAATTGAATAAATGAGTTTTGGGTTGCTATGGATATTTGATAAACTTCATAACTTTCTGCTAGAGAGAGAAAGAAGCACTACAGAGAACAATGATCGAATTAGAAAAGAAACTCGATGCAAAGCATGCCCTAGAGCTGGAGATACGATGTCTCAAAGGGAATTTGCAGGTAGCAAAGCACATAGGAGATGATGGGGATGATGGAGATGAGGAAGTAACGAAGAAGTTGCATAGCATAGAACAAGAACTAAAAGACAAGGAAGAAGAACTTGAAGATCTTGAGCAACTCAGTCAAGCTCTTATTATCAAAGAACGCAAAAGCAATGATGAATTACAAGAAGCTCGAAAGGAATTAATTGCGGTAAGCATTCAACAGATGTGTTCGTATGACAACCTTTTTCACTTAATGCCTAATAATGTCAATGGATTTCTTTTTGCTTGTGTGTGTTTGCATGTTCTATCAGTGAACTTTGTCTAATTTTTAATGGAATCCATATATAACGTCAAACTATTCTAACCTTTCTCACCTCTGGCTAGAGTGTCATTCAAATGTTAAGAGATAATGTCTCCAAACATTGAAAATAATGGAATTTACACTTGAATAACTAATGTAAGTTTTCCAATTTTTACCGAGATATTAACATTTTAATAATAAAAAATCTCAGTAAGTGAAACTTTAGGACTTTTCGCACAAGGATTACTAACTATACAGAATAGTATATTTAAATCCCTTATGTATTCCTTTTTCGTGTTATGTTTGTAACACTTAAATCATTTATTTAAAATGTGAGAAAACGAATTTTCTTTTAGGTTTTGATGGAACTATCGTCTGAGGCGTCCATTGGAATCAAGAGAATGGGTGAGCTAGATAGTAAAGCCTTCATAGCAGCAGCTAAAAGAAAGTACATGGAGCACGAAGTAGACGAGAAAGCTGCTGAGCTATGTACTGGGTGGCAATATCAACTAAAGAAAGCCAATTGGCACCCTTTCAAGAATGTTCCAGCTGAAGATGGTATAGGTCACAAGGTACATATTGTTTACATTCCATACATGAAAAGTTGTGTTATGTTCTGCCTTTTGAACTACTATGAATTAGTTATACTTTCTTCCAATAGTAACTGAGTAATTTAGAACATGAATCACCTATATAGGTAGCATTTTCGACCAATTAGCTTCTTAAAGAGGAATATAAAGACCATGCTCTATTAGGCCTCGTTTGGTTGGCAATATAGGATTAGCCAAGATAAGATTAAATAATCTAATGAGAACTTAATTGTGTTATTGGACAATGGAAGGTCCAACAAATAATCTCCCTAAAAAGCAAAATTAGCTAAGATAAATAATATTTCCGGGTCGACCCGAAAAATTATTGGGTTTACCATGAAACAAAGTCCAATTATTTAGTTAATCATGGTTAATCTCCCCCACCAAACGAGGCCTAATTTCATTGCATTTCAGTTTGCCATTCAGCTATAATTGCCACGAGTTGGAAGAAAAATGCACTAAAGTTACTCGTACCTTAAATGGCCTTTGTTTTGTACTTGTTGAAACTTTCCCATGTTTAACTGCATAAAGGCCTCTTTTTATGATTATCAACTTCAGACAATCGTGGATGGAGAAGATAAGATAATGAAAAAACTGAAGAACCAGTTAGGTGAAGACGCTTACCGAGCTGTGGCAACTGCTTTGATGGAGCTGAATGAGTACAATCCCAGTGGCAGATACGTAGTTTCGGAGCTGTGGAATAATGACCACGAAAGAAAAGCAACTCTCAAAGAAGGAATTTCACAGTTGCTGGACCAATGGAGGATGCTGAAAAAGAAGAAACGGTGCTAGATTCCTGGCTAGCTAACTTAGTAGGAAACACAGGGGAAGGTTATTTCTGGAAAGAGTGCAGTCGACTTGGGTAAAGGTTACATACTTCTGGTGAATAATTGGTATTATTTTGGCCCTTGATTCTGATCATTTTTTGTCAATCGATGTTTCTAACTGATTTTGATAGATAAGTAGTTGAGACAGATGGTGCCCGGAAATCCTCTAGCACCGTTTCTCGGTTATATTTTATTCTTATAGACACCTAGCTCCTTAAAACTAAACTGCATCAAGTAATTTTGTCAAATGTTTGATTAGTGTGAAAGACGAAAGTACTCCGGAGAAAAAGATTAACATATCTAATTGACTTAATGGCGGTATCTGGAGAAATTTACTTAGGTTTGATGTATTAATCAACGCAAACGAAAAAGGGTAGTAATCGTAATATTAATAAGTAGCTCAAAAAGGGCATTGGGCTTTACATGCCTTTACTACAGTACAAACAGTTGATCGAGACCATGGCATATCATTTCCATTCATCCACTGAAGTTGTCTGTTAAAAAGATCACAAAGATTACAAGAAATACAAACACAGTTGCAGTATCACACAGCCAACAACTGGATATTTCGCACGTTTCCTGATTTTTTTTTTCAGAAAGAGAGAATCACCGCTCTGCAGTAGCCCAATCAGATTACTCTTCTATGCCCGCCAAAAGCCCAAATCTGCCACGGAAAAAAAAAGTTACAAGTTTTTATCAATTTTCACTGCTTTAATTTCAAACAATTTGACAATATATACAGTAAATCAATAAGCCACTATATCAAGTAGTGTGATGTGTCAAAAACACTAACCTTGAGGTTTGTGTCATAACTTCCTGTACACAAGGCACTCCCATCAGCTGACAGTCCCAAACAGCTGATCCTACTCCTTCCATCATGAGAATTTTGAAGAGACCCCAAATCCAAAACCACCTGTTCATTTCAAATTAGGGTTAAAGAGTTAAGTAAATGCCATTCTATGACAATACATTCATCAGAGTGTTAATGCAATACTGGGGATGGAAAACGGACGGATCGGATTGGAGTTGACAATTTCGGAAAAATTCTAAATTTTGTCGGAAGTGAAAAACTAATTCCAATTCCGTTCCAAAAAAAGTCGGAAAATCGAAAATTGGAACGAAAAACACTTTCGGAAATCCGCGGGATTCAGAAATTCCAAAATTTTAATCATCTGTAACATAAAATATATAGTAACATTGATATTATAAGTGTAATTTTCGGAATATAATCGGAAATTTTCGGAAATAAAATTGGATCGAAAATCGGAATCTATGTATTCCAATTCCGTAAAAAAACAAAAATCGGAAAATTCCGAAATGATTTCGGAATGAAAATGTTGTTCCAAAGTCAGAAATGGTGGAATGCGGGAATCCCGTTCCAATTCCACCCCCATGCAACACCCACTGTATAAGCAATTAAAAAAATTACGACAAAGATGGAAACCCCTTTTAATTTTGTTGACAAAGGAAAAATATACAGACCACTAACAAAGAACACATATATCATATACCTGTGCCAATAGAGTGTCCCAGACATAGCAAGCTCCGTTAGTGTACCCTGCAAATAGGAGCCTCCCAGAAATGGAAAACGCAATTGAAGTCACTTGAGGGGGCTCACTATCACCACTGTGTGGTTGACTGTACTCTTGTAACTGATGCCCAGTTCTAATGTCAAACAGTCTGCAAGTCCCATCATCCGACCCTGTTCCAAATCTATTCCCATCCGGGAAAAACTTCACAGTATTAACATCTCCCTCATGACCATGAAAAGTTCGAACAGCTCTACTAGCAACACGAGTATCCCACAAACGGGCAGTTGAATCACACGAGCCGGACACAAACATTCTCGAGTTTGTTCCATTGATCGACACACTGCAAAAAAAAAAAAAAAAAAAAAAACCCTTTCTTGTGTAAATATTTTTTTTGATAGCTTTTGACACTCAATTATATATCATCTAAGAAGTTAATTCATAATTACCAAGAAATAGTTCATCTGAATTTTTTTTCACTATTTTTTTACTAGTTGAGCAAAATCACAAAAAATCGTATGCTATAACTCACGTTTTTTGCTAAAAATAGCTGAAATGATGATATCTTCTTTTAATAGTTTTTAACACTCCAACATATAGCGTAGAAGATTTTAATTCATAATTAGTCACGAAATAGTTCATCAAAATTTTGTTTCACCAATTTTTGACTAGCCGAGCAAAATCACAAAAAATAGTACACTATAGCTCATTGTTTTGCTAAAAATAGCTGAAACTGGTCATACATTCTTTTAGTAGTTTTTAACACTCAAATATATAGCATAAATATGTTATTTCACAATTAGTCAAGAAACAGTTCATAAAAAAAAAATCACTAATGAAAAAGCTCGAAAATGAAGATAAGGTAACTATAACATACCTTTGAACATCAGCAGTATGCCCAGACTGAAATTCGCCTCCAAATACAGAAGTTCTCAGGCCAGTAGTTATATCCCATAGAACACATGTTTGGTCACCCGATGCAGTTATAAGGTGTGTATCTTCGTCAGGTACATACTGACATGACGAAACATAACCCTTATGCCCGCTAAGGGTTCTTGATACTGGCAGATTACCATCTTTGTCGGTCGGAGAGTTGAGGTTAAATATAGAGCACATACTATCAAGGCCACCACATGCGACTGATTGGCCACTGGGAGAGAAGGCACAGGTCATGACCCATGCACAAGGTAGCTTAATTGCATGAGTTTTCTGGCTTGTCAGAGCATTCCATACTATTAATCTCCCATCTTGAGATGCACTCACGATGCGGTTCTTTTCGGGAGTCCAATCCAGTGAATACACCTAAAAGATTCATTTGAGAGTTGAGATTTTACTTACCAAAAGGATTTAGCAACTTTTCGAGATTTTAATGAGATCTCACACACTTCATTTAATAAATATGGCCATGTAACGCATAATTGATGACATCGTGAAATGCTAATGCAGACTTCTGAAATATGTAACTTAAAAATCTTTGACAAATTGCCAAAAGGGATGCGTCACCCACATGCCTATGTGCATTGCAGAATTCTGATTAACCTACTCTCAATTGCAATTCAGAAAGCCCAACGAATCTTCACTATGTATCGCATAGAAAATAGAAGGAAAGTGCAGAAGTTCTGGAGGCCAGCGATTGGAATTAGACTCGAGATAGCTTCACATTAAAGTCAGTTGCACAGAATCTAAGCCAAAGAAAGAAAGAACTCAAACTAGCCATCTGGTTTGAGCTGAGAGCTCGTCAATTTATAGAGCTTACTATTATCTAAAACGTGTTCTGGTTTACATATTAAATGCAACACGTTTTTGCTAATAAAAGATGCCTATATCCCTAATATCTGGAGCTACGGAGACGTGCCACGTGGACTGGATGCATGCATATGTTCAACAGCTGCTTGTTAGTTTCCTTATTGAGCTCACCCACGAAGACTGATCATAACACTACGTGAGTCCATGTTCAAATCTGATAAACTAATGAATTAAAAGTGGAACTGCAAAAATCCTTAGCTTTTATTATTATTTATTCATGAGATCTAGATATTAGTTTTAGGAAAACCTACAGCTACTAAGAAATTTATGCTCGGATATCACGCACATGCAGTAAATCCACCTTTCAGAAGTCTATGAAAGAAGTTCCAATAGTGTAAGGTTGAATTAGACTCCTAGTTTTGAATCCAAAACGAGAAATCGAATCCAAGAGATAGTTAACAGGCATCCAATTTCCAGACATCTTCATAAGGAACTTCCTCGTCCAAGGATCTTAATTATAATGCTACTTAAGGTATATTTAGACGTATCTCAGCCACAACTTCTTCACGCCATAACAATTATCTAAATGGATTAGTAGTATACCGTAGACTGACGATTAATTATCTCGTGCTCCCTAAACAAGTAACTGGAAATCTAATCAATGCAATCCTACATTGAAAAACCAAATTCCCCCGAAAAAATCCCAAGATATATTTAGATGTATACAAAGGACAGATATGTATTGAATTGATCCATATAGGTTCACATGTAGAAATTAAAATTGCCGCATTGAAAAATTCCGAAAGTTAAGAAACAGTTTACCTTGCCCGTGTGCCCTTGCAGAGTTCGGCAACAAACCAGATCAGTCGGACCAAAAGTCACCGGAGTCTTCCCCTGCGAACGCGCGTACCCCGCAACTGAAAATTAAAAAAAAAATTAAAAAAATTACAGAGAATTAATTCCGACGAAATTCGAGCCAGAACAAACAGATCTAAGGAAATGGCGAGAAACTACTAAATCCAAAAGACAGAAAATCACAAAATTAAACTGGAATTGAAAAAAAAGGAAGATGAATTGGAACCATCGGTGTCGAGAAGAAGAAGACGCTTCTGCTTTAATCTATCTCTGAGTGAATTAACAGTTTCTGTGGCGGCCATGTGACGCTCTTTCAGGTCAGCAACTGACATCTTCTTCTCCACCGAAAATCAAGGGAAAACACACAAAAGAAAAAAACTAGCAATTCAGCTTCATTTGAACCCTAATTTCCGCAATTCAAACAAAATTCGAAACTGAAAATCATAAAATTAGAAGAAATGATTTTCAGAAACGGAATTGAGCTTCGGGCGGCGGCGGGGGTGCGGTGGTGTTATCGGGGAAGGTGAGGAAGGAAGGTGGACTGTGAAGACTTTGAGAAGAAAGGGATGTTTTTTCTTTTGTGGTTAAATGGAGAGTTAATTGACTGGGGCCCACTTTTTTGCTGACGTGGATTATACACGTTAACTGGTGAATTAATCGTGGCATTCCGACTAAGGTTTTTGTGCTTGTTAATTGGTTTGATTAATGCTACTTACTGGCTTCCAGGCAGTATAGCCTAACAATAATCATTATGTTTAATAATTAAAATTCTAATTTTTAATTATGGATTATTGAACTAATTGCAATATTCAAACATATATCACATTTAGATTAGAAAAAAACATTAAATTTGGACAATGGTTTCTATAGTACCTAAATCTGAAATTGAACTCAATTTTAAAATGTATGGAGTAAATGTGCTTTTGAGCTGATGAATTCAAAATAACAATGATTTCCTTGACCCAATATTAATTACTGGGTGTATTTAATAAAAGAAAATTGGCAAATTACGAGGACTCATGATGTAAAATTAAATTACGAAAAATCGCCTCTTGTTTGGGTAATTACAGTCACTCTTCAACTGTGTAATGTCTTATTCGTAAAAAATATATATTTGAGGGGTGATTAGTAATTACCCAAAAAGAAAGGGTTTTCTTTTTTGTAATTTGCCCTAAAAAATTATTTTTTTAAAAAAATCAGAAAGTAAATTGAAGCTTAAATTCCTATTCAAAATAAAAAAAATTAAAGGATACTCTACAATAGGAATTTTTTTTATTTATTGGCACCATAAAATCTGTACACATATTTTCATCATTATTACAAAATTGAAATAACATGAATTAACTACCAAAATTATCCGAGTTATCAATCATCATCGTCTTCATGTACTTCCACCACTATAAATGCCAACCATTGCAACCTGCAACATAAAAAAAAGATGTCCCAAATATGAAAAAGATTAAAGAGTTAAACATTTTTCACAAGCACATATATAACAACAAATAAATAAATAAAAACCACAAAAAATATTTATTAAAAAATTAAAAAGGGACTTCTTACAAGGATTAGCAGTAGCGAGTGTGGCTGTCTGCTTGAACTCGCAGCCCCGTGGTTTCCTGCCAGTAAATTGATATTTAAATCGATATATATATTCGATTCGTAGTATAATCAAGATTTTCCTGCCCAAATCATGCACCAACCTGCAAATGGGCTCGGATTCACTCGAGTCGCCGGAGTTGTTGGACCTGGATTCACTGGACTCACCGGAGTTGTTGGAGCTGGATTCACCGGAGTTGCTACCGGTGATGGAGTTGTCGCCGGAGTTTTTCCCGGCGGTGGAGTCGCCGGAGTTGTTGGTGCTGCCGGGGTTGCTGGGGTTGGTGCAGGAGTCTACGCAAATCAACCAAGCATGAATACACGAAAATTCCAATAATACGACCGTTTAATTTCATTTAAAAACGTTTAATTCCAATGCCGAAAGAATTGACTGACCTTTGTGGTCTTGGAGAGGCTAACATCGTAAATAGGAGAAAGATCAGGCTTATAAAGCCCAAACGACCGCTCCGAACCGGGCCCCGGTTTCAAATCCTCGTCATACAGTGCGAAAATATACGTGTCGACAGATTTACCAGGCATAAGTGGCGTGCCGACCATCGACCTAAGATGGTTAATCAAGTTTCCGTTATAGGCTTTTGCACTGTCCAAACTAGGACCAACTTCGTTCGAATCTCCTTTATAAGGCCATCCTGTTTCAGCTACAACTATCTCGACATCCTTAAATCCCATTCCTTTCAATGCAGAGTGCACCGAATCGACCTGTGCATCGAACATGTTCATGTATTTGATGCCGGATCCAGAATCGACTCGTCCGGCATTCGGTTGGAACAAACAGAAGGCCAAAGTTTCGGGCCGAGGATCACTTTGATATGCAAAGAAAGGGTATGGATTTATCATAAACGGCGAACCATTTGAACTATGAAACTGTAGCAACCCTTTCATTGTGTCTCCGTATCCAAATGCCCCCGACGAAGGGGGGTCTGATTGGCTTAAGACCGCCATGGAATGTACCGTCGAAACCTTGACTTTCCCGCCCAATGATGCTGTCATTAATTTGACATTGCAATGCTTTAGAATTATTGATGCACCACTCTGTTTATAGAAGTTCTTGACTTAAACTATATATTAGGGTTTATCTATGCGTATCTTATCGCTCGAGACTTACTATAAGGGATGGAATCAGACGGATTAGAATTGACGCTTTTGGAAAAATTTCAAATTTTTTGAAGTGAAAAACTAATTCCAATTACTTTCCAAGAAAAAAATGGAAAATTGGAAATCGGAATTTAAAAAATTGGAATAAAAAACTTGTTACAAAATCGGAATTATTTCGGATTGGAATCGGCGGAATTTGGAAATTCCAAAATTTTATTCACCTATAATATAAAATATATAATAGTATTGATATCAATAAGTGTAATTTTCGGAATGTAATCGGATTTTTTTGTAAATCAAATCAGATCGGAATATAATATGCATTCCAATTCCGTTTGGAAAAAAATTGAAATTTTCGGAATTTTGAATGAAAAATGATTTTCCAAAATCGGATAATTTTCGGATTGGAATTGGAGGAATTCGGAAATTTCGTTTCAATTTCCACCCTGACTTATTGTGTATGGTGAAATATTTAGGACTTCCTTGCTAGTTCATGACATTTTCGGTGGAACTATTACGCAAATTTCTCAGTAGATTAAGTCCTATATTAAGCACATTTAGTAAGCAGACTAGATAAATAGTCATGCTTAAGTTGTAGATTTAGGGACCCCTAATAATAGCCAAGTCAATAATTCAGCTATGGAAATGGCAGGGGTGTAAATAATACCTGCATTGAGGGCGTTTTGGACATTTTGCATAGCAGGCAGGAGCTGGGAGACGAGATTCTGGTCCGGTGACGTCACCACCTCGTTACCCACGCTCACAACAATGATCTTGCTAGCCGGGTAATACGCCAGCACGTTCGAGTAGACCCAATTACCCGCGAAATTCGGGTCGGAAGCGAGCGCCGGAATATCCCCGTTGGCGGCGCCGATCACTATCCCGATGCCGGTGTTGGCCAGCGCCTTGATTATCACAGGGTCGGCTCCGTACAGCCGCACCTTCTCGATGCTCGTTGACTGCAATAGCTTGGCCGTCGCCTCCGCCGGCGGAAGGTTGTCCGCCACCTGGCCGTAATTCACTCCGATGAAAGACTGCGAATCTTAATTCAAAAAATAAAAAGTTAAAAAAAGAATTAAACGTCGAGAAAAAAACCGTCTTCTCCCTTTGACCAATAAAAATTAAAATATGAGCCGAGTTGAAAAAAAAACCCGCTCAATGAGTTGCACCGAGTTTTCTAGAGTGAATAGCACTTTCATACACAAACATAAATTGTTATTATACAATCAATTTTAGAAAAAATCACAACTAGAAAACTGAAACTAGAAAAAGAAAGAAATTGACTTACTGGCAAGGTAAAAGGGCAAGAGTAAGAAAGAAAGAAGCAAGAAAAAAGATAGAGTAGAAGAATATTTCTGCAGAATTGGAGCCATGGCTATGGCTGAATATATCTATATAATACTGTATATATATGTGGAAATGGATACTATAAAGAAATCACATAAGTTTAGAGAGAGAGAGAATTATAATTTAGAAGTGTATCTTAGTAAGCAATGTTAGTATAAAGTGCGGAGTGTGGGAGAGGGTTGAAAATAGAAACGTGGAGAATGGGAGAAGAAGAAAGGGGGGAAAGAATAAAGATGGTGGGATTGAGATGTGAAGAGAATTTATTTATTTTTTTATGTTATTGGTTAATTGAAATAATTTTGAATATTCATCACCATACTATATACAATTCTAGTACTAATTAAAGTATATCCTAAATATTCATAAATGCTCATTTTTTTATGTATTGTTATGTTGGAGTGGTTTTGACTTTTGAGGAACATGGTATTTGAATTTGGTGTGTTTTTTCTAGGTTCTTTACTTCTTTCCATCAATAATTAAGATGTTCTCTCCTCTCCCGTAAGGGATAGTGTAACAGTTGGAGCAAGTGAGTCTGTGTTAATTGACCAAAGTTCGAATTCCCTTGCAAATGATTACTAGGTCGAGTTTGTCACACATGGTTAGTCTAGTCTGATTTACGTCTCTCGTATAGTTTGCAAGCTATTATACGAATTACCCAGTGTACATGTATGATTGACTGCAAGTTCGATCATTACCAAAAGAAAAATGTTGCCTGCTTCAACATCTAAAGGCTAAAAGAGAGGGAAGACAAGATGGGGACTTACAAACCTTTATTTCTTTGGTCGATAATTGACAATTAAATTAGTGCTACTACTAACTTTGTGCACTGGAAGGCAAATGGACAACTTTCCTTTTATATACTTGCCTTAGCCTCTAAGATTATACTATTTGATTTTTCTAAAGCATTCGGAAACTATTTTGCTTATTTTAAAACAAGCTTCAAAAAGCAATCCTATGTTTAGTGGTGACCACATTCTATTTACATGATCAAAAAGTGAAACAAAATGTTTCATCTTAAAAGAAATACGAAATATGGCTTTATGCGACCTACACCTGGTGAAAACTGATCGGGTGATTCTATGGGCGTCTTTTATTATGTGTAAACTAATGATGCAGAATTACCCGATATATTTATCTAGTGTAACATCTACAAAACCGATGAATAATGATGTCTATAAATCAATAATGCAGATGTTGAAATTTCCACTACCTATCTTAAGAGCAACTCCAATGGAGAGACATCAAAATGGAGCATTAAATATACATTTGATACTTGATATAATACTTTGATACTTCTAGAAAAAAATTTCACTCCAACCACAAGTATTAAAAAGATTATCAAATTTTAAATATATAAATAATTATATTATTAAATGCCACGTGGCAAATTGTGATAGGTTAATAGAGTAGTTACATTTTTGATACCTCATTTTCCCGGGAGTATTTTTGCACCTCGGGGTGGTTGAATATCAAAATAGTTCTCCCTTTAATGCCTCCATTGGAGGAGGATTTTTTAATTTTGGAGCATCAAAGTGGTAGTTTTTCATTTTGATACCCCATTTAGTTCCTCCATTGGAGTTGCTCTTAAGACCCCTGTCATAGGACCCGTCGTAAACTAATAAAATTTACACACAATTACACATAGTAACATACTAACATCCATGTATACGAGTGTTCAAATTCACCCGTATATCATAAATAAACCAGTTATAATCTAATTTTTAATATATAAAATTTGAATTTGAATTCATAAAACTAGGTTTAGGTTATAGACGCCAACGTTCGTATCCGTTGGCCGTCATAAATATAATTGGTCAAATCCACCTCAGCAAACATGGTCTGTTTGTTATTAAAGAAAAAAAAAAAGCAATTAAGAATAGATTAGTACACTAATTTGAAATTCAGTTCTCAATATTTCCGAAAACAACAGAAGCAAATAGGCTTTTACTTTACAGCTCCAAAAACAAACTGCCAACACAACAAGCAAGCATAATTCAACAATTTTGTTAAACACAACAAATCAATCTTGAGTGGGTATAATTTCAAATAATAAACAAATTTTGGAAAATAAAAAATCCCGAAAACTTTTGAAAGATGAGTTTAAAGAAAGGCAAACATAGCTCAAGATGAAAATCCGATAATCGTCAAAACTCTCCAGTTAGGCACCCGAGTGAGACACTGGAGTCGTCACAAATTGGCCATCCTTGTATGCATGGACATACTGCTGTGGCAACGCATGCTCTCCCTGCAACAAATTATTAAAATTGCATATTTTAATTCATCTAGTTGTTTGGTTTCTGCTTCGATCATAGATAGTCGATATCTGGTTGAACGAAATACCATATTTGACAAATTTTAGAAAATATTTGAAATCATATTAAGATCACTACTAAGATGGTGCTTTTGAAGGATTGGATAAATAATCGTAGAATGTGAACTTGAGCTGAAACATACCCAATCGCCATCTGGTTCTGAACCGGGAACCAATACATTGATTTCACTTGATTTTGCTGTCGTAATAGAAGTCTCCAAAGCGTCTTTGCTCAAGTATAATTGGCAGCCTGCAGTATTGTCTACTGAAATTGTTGGAGCTGAGCCCTACAAAAGGCAAATTTGCAACAACAGCTGGTTATAAACTTCATTAAAATAATATAATGCTACTTGGATATAGCTGGCTTTTAATTCTTTCTGCTTGAAATGATTATACAAAGGTACGATGGAAAATTCTGCCGCCACAAAGAAAAGGAAAACTACCAATTTCAGAGTATAATACGATGATTTACCTGGCATTGCACCTCTACTCCACTAGAATTGACGATCTCACAAGCTGCCACAACATCCTATGCCCCAAAAATCAGAATAAAACAAGTGAGTTGAACTCGCAATATATAGATTAAAAAGTTTTAGATAACAAGCTAATTTTAAAATAATTCCCTCGCTAACCTTGAATACCACCCCCATCTTAGTGCACTTGTCAACTGTAATATTGTTTACTTTCCCTGCATTTATCAACATTAAGCTTTCATGAGTCACTAGAACAAGAGAACCCGACTCAAACACCTAATGCAAAAAGGTCCATACTAGTAAATGAACACAAATTGTTCCAAAAAAAAAACAAAAGAAAACAAAAAGATGAAGAAAATAAACCTTTGATATGCAGAACCGAATTTTTGCACCCATAGATATACACAGACTGTTTAGAATCACAATCATCAATTACTAGATTATTTCGTCCAATTTGATTCTCAACCACCCATCTGCATACAATACGGCACTCAGTTGAGAAAAAAAGACTCAAAACCTAGAGAAATGTGACTGTCCAATAAGCTAAAATTTTACTCACTTACGACCCATTTGAAGCTCTAATTTTGGAGGGCCCACCTTTGAGAAAGCAGGTGAACCAGTTCGACCTTCCTTCTCAGCAACTGCAACAACGCCACTTCTGTCCGCCCGGTTTTTGGTTTTCATATCATCCGTGACCTTCCTCAAACCTTTGAGTACAGAACAACATTCGTCAAAAAATAATTTCAATGAAAATGTAAATAAGTGGAATGAAAAAGAGTGATATCTACCAGAAGTAACAGGCTTTCCAGAATTAATCTCCTGGAAAATAGCAGACATCCCTTCCTTGGGGCGCGATGATGAAGGCAGAGTTGTTTCAGAACTGAAAAGTGAAGCAGGTGGTGGCGGTGGAGGAGCGGGTGCACCTGGACCTGGGGGGGTAGCTTTCAATGGGGCAGGGGCAGGTGCAGGTGCAGGTGCAGGTGCAGATGCTGATGCTGATGCTATCTTACCTGTGGCACTCCATACAGGGCCCAGTGGGTAATGACCCTTCACATAATCCCTCAACCCAGGTACATAGAGTTCTTTTAAAGCCTTTGCCCACTCTACGTGATTTGCGTCTTTGTTTCTGTACTCCACGAGAACCTAGTCGACAGAAAAAAGATCAGAACTTACATTCCTGAATTTTTTCCGATTTTTCCTACCAACTACCACAATACTACAAGATCACAAGGAAAACAAAAATTGCTGCCCTGTGAGAATATAAATTAGGAATTTAGAAGGGCTTCCACTTGCAAGCTATAACGAGTAAAACATCCACATCTGTTAATTGCCTATAAGCTTCATACATATTATTTATTTGACGTATCTTGTCCTGGAATAACATGGCAAAACACATCTAATATATATATATAATGAGATTGCAGCTGCTGCTACTCCAAATAGAGCATGGAATAAAACTAACATAATACAGCACGGGTTAAAGGATATGCATTAGTGAGTTCGTTTTCCTTCTTTTCATCTTCTATTCATTTTCTTGCTCTAGGTACAGAAGGCATCCACCCTCAAGTGAAGAAGGGTAAGGAGTAGAACTCTTACCTTGTTACAGTAAAACTCAGCCATTTGCCAACTTTCTTCAACATGTGCAATAGGCATGCTCATACCTACAATTGAATTAGATTAATTTCAGAACAGGGGAAAGGGGACAATTAGCCAACTCACAGTCAAAGGCACACATGGATGTTGGTAAATTTTCTTACCACAATCTTTTCCAGTATATGCGATCCAAGCAAGAGCAGCCAGACTATCGGCACCAGTCTTTAAGTGATGGAAAAAATCAGGTCGCCTACCCTCTGTCAGTGCAGAAGCTTTTGTCATCACCTCATTCAACGGTTTAAGGAATTCCATCATTCCCGCATTATCAGGTTTCTGCACAGACAGCATAATCACACAAAGCCACACAAACACAATGAGGTATAGGACAGAAACAATTGAATGAAAATGCTAAATGTTTATTTGCATTTATGGATATAAGGATATTGGATCGTCTCAAAGTCAACACAATCAACAATCAAGCATATGCCTCGTGTATTTTACAATCTGCGAATACAATTGCTCCCGAATTCACCGGAATGATAATACAACATAGCAAAGAAGCAAGGATGTAAATAATTATTAATGTTTCTTTCCAAATCATAGCTATTATAACGCAAAACAGTAATAGCAATAATACAGTGAACTTCTTTAGAACTTATCAACTTAATGATTTATTCCAATATTCCATTGCATAACAATGTAACAGAAAATGTTAATCGCAAAGCTAATTGTTCCCAATTTCTTCAGTAAACTGAAAAAAAAACATACAGAAAGGGCAACAGACCTGAGTTTGCTTGATTTTCACAAGTAGCTCCTTCTGCACAGCAAATGCATCGGCAATAACCTTAGACACATCCAGAACCCGTCCTCCAATCTTCTCCCCGGCGGTCGTAACTCTGTTAACGCACTGCGAAATCAGATCGTCGAACGCCAAAATCGACGGATCCACCGCCGCCGCATCTCCACCATCCTCCGGTGAAAATCCACGGGATCCTCCGGCGGAAAGCGCCTCCAACCGCGCCACCGCGACTTCCAACCGCTTCACCAAATTCTCTTCCATTTTCCGTCCAATAGCTTCTCGCGCAAAGATTTCCGGCGAGTAAATTCAAACACAACAGATCTGATATGCGCACGAGCGTCGGATTTTACCGATTTCTCGTATTTATTCAGGATTGTGTTTCTCTTTCGCCGAAAGGTGAAAGGTCCCAAGTCCAACTGGAATGCCTATGGTGTGGGTTGCGCGAATATATCATTACAATGATTTTATAATTTTATCTTTTTTATCATTTATTGGAGAGGGTGGAGGGAATGTGGGGTTGCCACGTGGCCGTTGGTTAGTGCTCTTTCTTACTGTTGAAGACCACCTGTTTTTTAAGGGTTTTGGAGGAAAATTGACTAGGGGACAATTGCTGTAGGGGCATGTTTGGATTTAGTTTTTCTACGGTTTGGGATATTTTTTGGGGAAAATTTGGATTGATATTTCATTGTAAATAAATAAATATATATTCAATTTAGTAATTTGAGTTTAAAACAAATGTTGTCTGAATATAAAAGATGTGGTAAATGATAGGATACAGATTTTAGGACAGTTTTATTTTCTAGTAATTTAATGAAAGAATTTCAAGAATTAAATAAAACAAACAAATTTTCAAACTCAAATCAAACAAAATCTTCCCATTTGGCATTCATCGGATACTTTCTTTCTCTCACGGATGGTTTTATTTAATGAATAATAAAGTAAATTAACATTTTTTTCTTTATAGAGATAAATGTTTTTGCTTTAATGTATAAAATGCAAGCAAAAACACAAGTTTTTTTGGAACCACACCTGGTGACAGACGCCATGTGATTTTACACCATTAACACGTGATAACACAAGCACTCGTGTTTATGTATACTTTTTGAGTAGTTATTTATATATTATATGAAATTCCAACTTCAAATCCAAATTTAATTTCCAAATTTTCATTTCTGAATTTATTTTATACTATACATGAATAAAAATAAATTTTCCATTTTTTCATTTCAATTTTTGAAATTTATAAATTTACGGAACTGAAGTAATTTTACTAGATGGATCTGTCTAATCTGAAAAGGCCCATCTATTATTGTTAGAAACCGCGAATAGCAATTTTGTGATCGCAAATAGCATTTCATATTCTATATCGCCCCATCTATTATTACCAAGTAAGCAAGCCCATTGTCTTAATATTTCTATGGGCCTGTCTAATCTGAAAAGGCCCAAAATGTTGTGCCTGATCCACACAAAGTTTGGTGAAGTACATTGTATGAAAATACATGCTTTAGTTTCACACACAATATTTACAACCTCATCTCAATATATATAACCATAATGTATTTCTATATGTGAAAGGAAAAATATGTATACATAAATATATGATAAAATCTGAAAAATCCATAATCATAAGATGTATAAATAGAAACTCAGTATAGTATACCTTTGTCATTTATAATTAAATGATTATCTCCACGGAGGTCGTTCTTCATCGTTATTCACCACTTCCTTTTCAACAGATTCAGCTTTGCTATTATTACCAGTAGCTTGGGGGTGTAGAGGAGGTCTATCACGTGCAAAACGAGGTTCCTGTATAACGTAAAACAGCTCAATTAGTCGTGAATAAAAAAAAAATATATTTATTTACGAGGTTAAGAAAATTGAATAAATTTCGAGTAGAGATACTCACAGCACGGTAAGGAAAATCATCAGCTTCGAGCATGTGTACAATTTGCCCCATTTTCGGACGTTTATTGGGATCCAAATCTGTACAGCGAAGACAAAGAAGGAATATTCTTTTTAAAGCTCGTGGCGGAGGAGGCACACTGATTAAGGGATCTACCAACTCTTCGCTACGATGACTCGATATCATCCCTTTAAACCAATCAATCAAATTCATCTGAAATTGAATAAACGAGTAAAAATGCGAATAAGTTCTTTTTCTTTATAAATTATAAGGAAAAAATAAAATAATTGAACTAGAGGAAGAACTTTTTTTACCTCTCCAGCTTGTCTGGAATAGTCTACTGGACTTCTCCCAGTAATTATTTCCATGAGTAGAACTCCAAAGCTATAAACGTCGTTTCCTTCATTAAGCATGCCAGTACTTGCATAATCAGGAGAGACATATCTGTGGATTATAAGCAAAAAATAAGTTAAGAGTGAATATATATTTGGTTATCCAAAAGAAAATTAATTATAGGAATATAGAAAACAAACCCGAATGTTCCCATCACGCGTGTGGTGACATGGCTTTTCTCGGACCCCAATAGCTTGGCGAGTCCAAAATCCGATACTTTGGCATTCCATTTCCTGTCCAAGAGAATGTTGCTGGATTTTACATCACGGTGAACAACTTTGGGTTCCAAACCTTCATGCAAGTACGCCAGCCTGTCAAAATATTAACAGATTCAATTATATACAGCAATATGCCAAAGGCAGAGGGGAAAAAATGATTATAGACAGAGACAACTACAAGCTAGATGATATCCAAGAAATTTAAGCGAAAAAAATTGAAGTCGTAAGAGTAATTATAGGCTATTATGACGTAAAATTAACATATGTGTGTGTTAAACGAGCATATCTGAAGTCCAAAGCAGTAGCTTCTACAGAAAATGTTCACTTTTCTTTATCAGGAAGCAGTTATGAGTTTAGATTTTAAGTATAAAAGTTTCTGATTCCGACAATAAAAATAAGAGCAAAGATTTCGTACAGCATAGGAAACATATAAACAATAGGAAGCCTCACCCTTTGGCTGTTCCAATGGCAATCTTCATCCTAATCTCCCAAGTTAAAGGGCTAGCCGGGCCCACGTCACCGTGTAACCACTGCTCCAAGTTGCCGTTATCAATGTACTCGTAGACAAGCAACCTGAAAGAGAGTAAGAAAATTAAAAAAAGGTTAATTATAATTGTAATTCATAAAAACATTAATGTATATAAATTAAACGAGGGTAGAAATTGGGTAGTACGAAACCTTTGTGCACCTTCCGCACAGAAACCTATCAGAACCACAAGATTCTTGTGTCTCACTTTACCAATGGCTTCAACTTCCACCTTAAACTCCTTCTCCGCCTGACCCCTGTGACAAAGCAGATTAGGCACCATTAAAGTTTATTATGTAATCTCTACAAGATAGAAAGATTTGTTCCTATTTCAACAAATAGTTTACTTCACCTTTTTGAAAAACTAAAGTAGAAGGCTGTAATCAAAGTTGCTGCGTTTTCTTGAACTTAATGCAGTAGTTTAATTTGTAAATCATATGCAATTAGAATATCAATTAGAGGTAGTTTACTAAATTTACTTTAGTAAAAGTTTGACAATAGCTTTTTTTGCATTTGCATTACAAATTAATAGTGTTGTATCTATACAGCAAGTTTAATAGGATTGTTATTCATCTCTGTTGTTCACTTATGATGTTTCGATTTAACCATCTCTGAGATATCTACATTTACAAAAGGTTCAAAATAAATTTTCCTACATGTTCGATATATCACACGTAACTAAAACAGCGAATTATCATTTCATAAGGCAGCATACTACGGCCATTATACAAAATTCAACAACGTATTTTACTTTCGTAAAGAAAACAAATCATGAATGGAGCAACATAAAAAGGACATATTCAATGCAAAAATAAAGTAAGAGATTTACATTGCAAGTTGCAACAGCCAAAACAGTATTAATTAAAGTTAAACAAAAGTGGGTACAAAGTTGGCCCATATGAGGTAGATAAGAACACAAGAAATAAAGAAAGAAAAAAGATACCGTGGACTTTGTTTTTCTATCATCCCTACTTATAAGAGACAAAATAATTTTCAAGTCCCCACCCACTAAAAATTAATAAAATGCAGATATGAAGCTTTGATTTTCTTCCATTCTATCAAAGAATCCCCACCAAACACATTTACAATATCACTCCTCCGAATTCGACGAACACTAAAGCAATAATTCAGATTAAATTGTTTACCTACCGAGGAATAAATAATAACTAAGAAACAAAGGTGGAAAAATTTACACACACTACAGACAAAATGAAATCGTAAACAGATTTTATCCTGATCATATACACACCAGTGTGAATTCATGTTCAATTGCTTGTAATTCATGTACCTATGTTCTGCAATGTGCTTCTATTTTTAACATTTAAGCTTTTAATGAAATGAATCGGACTATTTAAGCTTATAAATGAAGTGATTATAGGGCATATAGACTTACTTTTTGTTTAGAAGATTTTTCACCGCAACTACAGAGCCATCGCTCAAAACCCCGCGGTAAACTACGCCAAACCCTCCTTCTCCGATCACATTCTCCCCGGAAAATTGATCCGTGGCAATTTGAAGCTCGCGCAAGCTGTACCACCGGCCCCACCCGTAATTCCCCAAACCGTCGGTGGACGCCGACAACGCCGATGAGGTATCACTCCGAGTAGTGCTCGACTCGTTGCTTCCGGAACTTCCTTTTTTGCTATCGGACTCAACCCCAAACCCTACGGCTACGTCGTCTATCAGAAACACCTTTTTGTTGTCGTCGTCGTTTTCAATTTTTGTTGCTGCTTTGCCTTGATCCGGCTTGTTGATTTCCCCAATCTCTTCGGATACCAGGGGTAAAAGTCCGGGATGGTGTTTGGCGCCGAGGCGGCGCCGTTCGGAGTTCCGTCTGCGGAGGTAGACGAAAGCTATAGCAAAAGCGGCGAGCACACACACGACGGTGGCGATTACGACCACGTAGAGTTTCTGGCCGAGAATTGGAGTTTCGGCGGTGAAAACATGGTCGCCGGTAGAGTTGCCGGAAGCTGCCATTGTTTCCGGCGAGAGCGTTATGTGTCGGTGGTGTTGCTAAAACATTCTATTTTGAGATGAAAAATGGGAGAAATAATAAATAATATTTGGAGAAAATGATGGGGAGATCAACGGATATCATACAGAGAAAACTACGTATGAAAAAGAGTTAGTGAAAATGGTTTTTGAACTTAGGGCTTTGATTTTACGTAATTTACAGAAAGACCACTGAGGACTACTGTGTAGGGGACAATTAGTATTGGAGCGTGTCGCCGACCGTTTGCGTGCTAAATGTTGGATTGGAGCCATAATTATATATCAATAATATTCAAATTGTACGAATTTTTATTTGATTTTTATTTACCAAAATATTCAAAAATTCCAAAAAAAAAAAAGAAAAAAACAATTAGAGTAGATCCAGATAATGCATCATTATAGAAATATTTTAAACAAATTACAACTTGATGGGCGCATGACCAAATACCCATATCGACAAGCTTATAGAGGCACACAAACCAAGCTCAAATCGATCAAAGAAAATAATACAAGTCTAAGTTGACTGAGGCCCAAACTAACCATGACCTAATCAGTTAGACCGAAGTCGGCACATGTTATATGGCTCAGGCCTATGAGAATATATGTCTACATATAAATACTCAGAAGTCTCACAATTATAGGTACGCAATTTATAACTCCTGAACACTCTCATGAATTCTCTGAATTTTTCTATCGTACAAAGTTGACTTAAAATGTTGGAGGGTTTTCGTCGGAACTAATCCCAGTAGCGTAACGAATTTTTACGATGTCCGACACGAAGAATCAAGATATACGAGGAAGGAATTGCAAAACGTGATGTGGAATCGATCTTACCACGTCACAACTCTTGTTTTAAGGCATTGATGAATATTTTTCCACCTATTACCACTTGGAATTAAATGCATTGAAAAGAGCAGGTTGATGTTGTCACAAGTAATTAGCTTGTGTTTACATGTATCACGTCTTATTCATGAATCATATGATATATCCATTATTATTTGTTCTTTGTTCACATGAAAATAGACTTTATAAACTAACCTATAGCAAATTGTACGAGCCCACTATTCAATTGTGGAAATAATCACTTTTGGACTTCTGCGTTAATATTGTTTACTGGGCTGAACTACTTTTGGGCCTATCGACTACATTTAATTTATTTTCTACCTAGTATGGGATTCGCTTCACTCTATATAATAATGTCGGTTTATTAAGTGTTTGGTTTATAACATTTTATTTTTATTTTTTTTTATTTTTAGAAGAGTGATAATAAATATACGAGTCAAGTTTTCCGACTCGATTCGATCATTTTACACCCCTTACATTTGTCTCGTAATCCATGTAGCACAGAAACGTCACTTTGTTAGTGTATACGTGTTCCGGATACGTGTTGTGTCTGACACTCGATGTCACATGACAGACACCTTATGAATCATTTTGCAATTTCTGAAAAATTAGAAATATATTTGAATAATAAATTTTCAAATCTTTTTGTTGATTCCCTAATTATTTACAGGATTTAAGGATCAATTACAAATTAATAGTTGATAATAATATTTATTTTGAATATATTTGTACGAAAATAAATAAAAAGAATTTATATATATTTATATAGCATATTTATAAATATACGCGTATACTTTTAATTTCTACATATTTCTCTCAAGTTTCCGTATTTTCATTATCGAGACATGCCATTTTCTCGTATCGCTATTTTCGTGTTCCTGCTACATAACTCACAGTTGAGTGAGGGTATTCATTTTCATCATTAATAAAGATTGAGGAATATCAATATAAATCAACCAATAAATAAAGAAAATACGAAATCAATAATCAAATTACATATAATAGGTGCAGTAAACTATACGTCACCGTTTCGTCACTCCACAGACGATATTATCAGCTGTTGCCAAATCGGGGAAAAAGAATTTCATATTATCCAAAAATCAATTTTCGTACAATCGATCAAATTACACTCGTATCGTCTCGCCCCCACCAGATGAATAGCGGCGGCGTAATGAAGAAGAAGCAGCGCACCGGCAGCAACAGCCGCCTCTCCTCCGTTCTCGCCGAAATCGATTCCTCCTACAACGACGGAACCCTAGCCGAAGGCTCCCACAAATCGCCCAGCCTCCGCCGCTCCTCCTCCCATTCTCTCCTCCCCCTCTCCGCCCCGTCTTCCGCCGGCGGTTTCAACGACGCCGCCACCGCTGACGTCATCCTCAGCCTTGTCCTCGACCAACAGTATCCTCTCGCCGACTTCTCCGAAGCTTCCTCTGATGCCACCGTCGATCAGTCCGAGATTCAGATCCACCTCCATTCTCACGTTCTACGCCGATCCAAATACTTCGCCGCACTCCTCTCCGATCGCTGGCAGCAACAGAATGAATCCTCTTCCAATAATCCAGAAATTCCACCCAAAATACACCGATATAATCTTACTGTTCCGGCCACTACCGCTTCCATCAATCACCACCTAACCGTCCTGCAACTTCTTTACTCCGATGATTTATTCTCTTCGATCGATAATGTATCCGCCGCGCTTAATTTGCTCCCGATCGCGCTCGAATTGCTATTCGAGGACTGCATTAAGGCTTGCGTCAAATTGCTCGAGGCAGTGCCGTGGTCCGAAGACGAAGAAGAAAAGATACTAAATTTAATTCCGTTTCTGAGCGACGAAGAGTCGAAGGAGCTCCTTGCTAGGGTTTCTCCAGTGAGACGTGATTCGTCGGAGGAAATGCTCCACGGATTGATACTTTCCGCAATTCACAATCATCCAAACATGGCCTTTGCAAAGGCATTCGTGGCAAAGCTGTTGAGGGATTTTTCCTCCAGGGAGTCGATAAGGAGGGTTTTGGATAAGGCGTTCGAGAAGAGTTTGAGGGTTGTGAAGCAATCATTGGAGGAGTACTCGAGTCCCGATTTTAGAGGTGATCATAACGAGACCGAGGCTATACAGCGGTTGAATTTGCACACAGCCATGACTAATGGGAAGCACTTGCTGTGGTTGGTTGAGAGGATGATTGAGCTTAGAGTTGCGGATACAGCTGTCATGGCATGGAGCGAGCAGGCTTCGTTTACAGCGGATTTGCAGAGGGCGTTTCGTGATGATGCATGGAGGAATATTGTTCCGAGCCTTCCTGCAGTTGTGCTCCGTTGCACTAGCAGGCTTGCGAATGCTGTAGCTACGGGGAATATTTTAGCTACTAAACAGGTCTGCCCTTCAACGATTTGTCATTGTTTATTAATATGCTCTTTCATACAAATATTTTGGAGTTGGGGTTTGGATTGGTTTGCTTTCACTTGAATTTTCAAATTTGAATTAGCTGCTTGAATTTATGAATGCCAGACAAGTTTTATGCTTAAATACCAAGAAGTATTTTCTTAATTCTGATGAACATGAGAGTTCCGTGAGGGGTCTTGTGTATAATTTTCGTATATAAACCCTCAAAAGAAAGAACGAAATAAAAATGCGATAAAGCAAATAGTAAGCAATTCTTGTAATTTATTAGTCGTGTTTTTTTTTGACACTTTAGGCCTAATACTTTAGGTGAATCATGGCAAACCTGCTAAATATGCTTTGATGAGGCTGATTAGTGGTATGTTAGGATGCTCGAGTAGATCATCTACAAGAATTCTTGTAGAAATTGAAATTGAATTGGAATTGAAATTGAAATGCAAGAATATCCTTTTCGGAAAAATAGATATATGAGCTATGTCTACCATTAAAAGCCATGAAAACGATATTTGACGAGTGTAGTTTTTGACAAGTATGATTACACTTTGTGCAACAGGTGAGAATGAAGCTCGTGAGAGATTGGCTTCCAGTGTTGATTATATGCAAAGACAGTGTCTCGCCTATGGGGCCGAATCACAAATCACTCTACCTTGAGTTGGAAGAGACCTTCTTAAGAATTATATCCACTCTCCCACTGTCAGATGCACAAGGTTTGCTTCAGCAGTGTCTTAGCTTTTCAACTCGAAACGTCGATGACTGCCCACACTTGGTCTCTGCTTTTAGTACTTGGTTTCGCCGTGCAAATCGACCCCCTCACCCAGACTCCTTTGAATGAAGTTTCTATAGTTTGCGCCATGAGAGCTTTTTTATCTCTATTTTGAAACTTAAAAAACTGTTTTTTTTGCAGTTGTTTTGAGCATTCAAACTTTTCTTTAACTCTGCATTTGTGCACAAAACCAAGCATGTGTAAATTTTCTGCACTTTTCTGCACTGGTCGTATTCGGTTTGGTTTTTGAATCGTGCAACTTGTTTTAAACTTAGAGTTTCTTCGTCTGTTCACCTTGTAAATGAAACATATATTTATTGTGTAAATTCTTGTTTTGCTTATGTACCTTTCGGTAACAAACATGAATGAAAATATGTAACGCACCAAAAAAAAAAAGTTTCGATTTCATTCCATTAGAGATTACAAAAACATTACAAGACATCATCAGACTCTGCACAAGCTTTCATCAACGATTGTACTCTTATCATCACATCAAGAAATTACAGTGGAAATTCTTGTGTTAATAAAAAAAAAAAAAAAAAAAAAAAAAAAAACAGTTTTATTGATACTTTCTACCCCAAGTAAGAAACACACAAGTAGTGAGATTAGTGACATAAATGCAGGCATATTCGTTCACGTGCACATTCACAGTAATCGCCTTATCAAATTTTTGGTGGTACCTTGGTAAGTTCGAACGAACAAGCCGACTCCTATTCCTACTCCAAGACTTATACTTAGGCCGATTCCAACACCTACTCTTACCCCGGCGTTGAACCATGATAATTCTCCATCTTCGCCTTCCAGATACTCCATACCTAAATATGGACTGCAATTGTCTTCATCTTGTTGTTTATAATCGGGATAATGCGTCGACTGCATAATTCATTATATAGAACAAGTCATTCGTTTACTCCAAGAAATGCGTTACTAAATTGAGCAACGAGCACTGATTTTATCTAGTTTTTACTGCAGTTAAATTGCATCTCATTTTACATTTAAAACAGATCATTGTCCTAATTATGCATACGTGGAAGATTTTTACCTTTGAGGGGCATACAACAAGAGTACAAACATCTATTTTTTTTTCTTTTTTTTGGAAAATGAAAACCATGTGACATTAAAAACAGAAAGGTAATAATATCCTAAAAATATCTGCATAGAAAAATGTGCCTGCCCTCAAGCTGTCCTGAATAATACATAACTCCAGGATATGTTTTTATATGTCTGTCAATGTTTTGTGTTCACCAAGAAGATTGCCCAAAGAATATTCTATTTTCTTTGTGCAGAAATTCCTAACTCAAATGCCACAACAGGATAATTAATAAATGAAACAAAAAACATAATTATACCTGTATTGTAGGGTAATTAGACGAATCATCTTTCCGGCTTTGAGGAGCGGCCTCGTATTCCGGTATAGATTCCAGCATCCCTTTCCTAACCTGCTTCCTCCTATGATTATTAAGCTGCAAGCTCTTAATCAATATAACCGGACTCCCTAAAAAACTACCCGCAACATAAACTTCAATAGCCGGCGAAAAAGACGAATCCGACCCTGTGTAATTATTCTGATTTCCCTTGAGCAAAAATCCATCACATTCCATATTCCAACTCTGCCCTTGGTATTTCGACTCCCCGATAAATCCATTTCCATTAAGAGCCAATTCTAAAGTACCCGATAATATAAGCACATCTTGATTGAAAACCTCAAATTTGACGCTCCCAGTCATTCTAATACTATCGGTGCTCACAAATGTAACTTCTTCGGATCTTTTATCTAACCTATCTTTTTTCAAAAGGGTAGATATACCATCTGCGTATATGCTAGGTCTAACGGAGTTGACTTCTAGAAGAGTGTTGCGGCTTAACGGGACGAGGTTTAGTGTGAGGTGATCTGGATCGTTGATTACGCATCTGCTAACCCTAATGTAAAAGACTCTTAAATCAAGCCATGGGAGAGAGAGCTTTACACTGGGGTGGTAGGGGGTGTGGGGCCGAGTGACGAGGTGGCCGTTTTCGATTGGCCCATTTTCGTCGAGTTCTTCTTCGGATGAATCTTCCATTTCTCTTAGAGAGATTAGCATGTCCTCTTCGTTGACATTCATTGGGGGATTAATTTGATGTAATCAACAAAGATAAACCTGAAATAGGGTGGGAATTGAGCAAATTAGTTATACAATAAGCAAATTAGTTTTACAATGATGCATGCATCAAAGGAACCACATAAGAAAACAATATGCAGAAACACCTTTAGCAAAAAGGAGAAAAGATAAAGGGGATTCAGTTAGACAAATTGGAATCCACTGAAGCAAAATTTCTGAATTTAACAGAAAAGCAACAAACTTAGCAGAAAGGAACACCTGAAACTAGGAGATAAAGTAGAGAGGTAACGAGGAAAGTG